CCTGCATCAGGGGCGGGGTCTGAGCCAGCACCCCTGGTCCGGAGTTGCTCCGAGGGATTGAACCAGCAGGCGGGCGCGGGGCAAGGGCCGGGCACCCGTCGGCAGCATCCAAAGGTGGGCGTGGGGTTGGGTGCTCCTGGAGTACAGGTAGCGGCTTCCTCGGTTCCGGATCGAGGAAAGCCCTGGGACCCTGAAGTCCACTCCCGGGGTCTCAAGTCAATCGCTCAGGGCTTTGCGTTCGCCCCGCTTTAGCCGGTACGGGACCTAGGAGAAGGCCGGAAGGAGCCGCGAGCCGCCAGCCTGCAGTGGCGCATGCGCCCGATAGACCCAGTTGGGGACCCGGAAAAGGAAAAAAAGCTAACGGCACGAGTGCGCAAGCGCGTAGGGGTGATGGAGCAGCGAGACAGACATGGGGGTGCCCTTTGGGCGTGCGCAGTCCAGGTCCAAAGAAGTCCGAAAAAAAGGAAGCGTTTGCGCACATGCGCACACCCAGGCGGGGCCAACCTGGAGAAGACCGGACAGCTGGGCGGAACTGAGTGTATAGTTGTGTAGCCATTGGGTGGTGGCCGGCTAATTGACCCAAAGCTTTTCCAGTGAGTTACAGGAGGCGGGGAAAATATGGAGGCGTGAACTTCTCAGGGCTGCGCTAAAATTTCGGCCATCCCGGTTCACACCTCTTTTGAGCCACCCCTTTTATTGCTAGACCTCCTACGTCACGAGCGTCCCTCGTCCTGATCAGCCTTTACTTCCGGGTCAGAACTCAGTCCTAATGTGTAGAGAGCGGCCGTGCGGAACAGGCGGGAATAGTCGAGTAGGATAGTGTCGTTTTTTTTAAAGTGACAGGCTTGAGGCAGTTGTGTCAACGCTACCCGGCGGTTGTTGTGACTCAGCTATTCTAAATCCAGTTTGGGGCATACTTCTGGACAACAGTCTCAGGTTTCCACCTACTGGGGAAGGTACATGAAGAAGCGGGTTATTTCCCAGGTGAGGGGAAGAAATTCAGAAGAGCCCGTTCCAAAGGAGCTTGGAAGTGCAGCCAGTTCTGTCCGTCTTCCAGTCTATCCCACCTCCAGTCCACTAGCTTTGAAAGCAGAGCCACTTGTTCCTATTTCAAATACGAAAAGAGTGAAGCTGAGAGAAAATGCATCACACAGTCCTGCAGCTTCCTAGCCAAGACCAGGCTTGGACTTGCCGCCCTCCCAAGCGCGGCTCTTATAACCTCTTTGCAGATGTGGATTCAGATCCAGAAGGCAAGACTGGTCCATCCTTAGCAGAGACCAACTTCGACCCTAAGCAGCAGAGCACCCCGGCTGGAGCTTTTCTTCCTGGGTCCCAAAGCCTGGTGTGATGGGGGTTCTGGGACTACCCTTGTCCTCTTCTGCCTCTCCTGGCTCGCCTCCCCGGGAACTCCCCAGCCCTGCCGATGGAGCCTCCTCCGGGAGGGGAGCAGTGCAACCGGTCCGCGTCATCTGATGCTGTTTCCTGCTGGAGGGAGAAGAGCGGAAAAAAGTGAAACTCCACCCTCCACCTCTGCCTCCCGCCCCCGGGGCCAAAGTACAAAGGCAGGAGGAAGAAGGGAACGGGTCGGAGCCGTCCGGGCCACAGGCACCAGGGCCAGGAAGAGGCAGCTTCAGCCCAACTGGGGACTCTCCCTCCACGCTCAGTGGATAAAGACCCATCGGGAATCCAGGCACTGCCTCTGGCAGGCCCCACTTTACACTTGGTTGGCGCCAGAGCCAGCCTCCTAGGACTACTCCGGAACCAAGGGGCACTCAGAGGCCCCTCCAATCCAGCCATGGTGAGACTCAGGAGGCCCCAGGGCCCCACCCCTCCAGCCTGACCACACTGCTGTGGGTGGCCTGCTCCAGAAGCCCGAGATGCGGGGGGCTGGGAGACGACCCTCCTGGCTCCCCAGAGAGGCGTGGGTCTGGGGCTGAGGGCCAGAGCCCGGATGCCCAGGTCCCGGCACTGAGTCTTCAGCAACCAGCAGGGGTGGGGACCATAGGCACCCAGAGAAGATCCCCCACACATTCCAACGCTGGCTCCTGGCCATGGAGCCCTTGAAGAATCTCTTCCTCAAGAGCCCTCTGGGATCATGGAACGGCAGTGGCAGTGGGGGCACTGGGGGCGGTGGTGGAGCCTGGCCAGAGGGGTCCCCAAAGGCGGCAGCTTATGCCAACCCTGTGTGGACAGCCCTGTTCGACTATGAGCCCAGTGGGCAAGATGAGCTGGCCTTGCGGAAGGGCGACCGTGTGGAGGTGCTATCTCGGGATGCAGCCATCTCAGGAGATGAAGGCTGGTGGGCGGGTCAGGTGGGCGGCCAGGTGGGCATCTTTCCATCCAACTATGTGTCTCGGGGTGGCGGGCCGCCCCCCTGCGAGGTAGCCAGCTTCCAGGAGCTGCGACTGGAGGAAGTGATTGGCATTGGTGGCTTCGGCAAGGTCTACCGGGGCAGCTGGAGAGGGGAGCTGGTGGCAGTGAAGGCAGCTCGCCAGGACCCTGATGAGGACATCAGTGTGACAGCTGAGAGTGTTCGCCAGGAGGCCCGGCTTTTCGCCATGCTGGCACATCCTAACATCATTGCCCTCAAAGCTGTGTGTTTGGAGGAGCCAAACCTATGCCTGGTGATGGAGTATGCAGCTGGGGGACCCCTCAGCCGCGCCCTGGCTGGGCGCCGTGTGCCCCCTCATGTGCTGGTCAACTGGGCCGTGCAGATCGCCCGTGGCATGCACTACCTGCACTGTGAGGCCCTGGTGCCTGTCATCCACCGTGACCTCAAGTCCAACAACAGTGAGTTTCCAGGGGCATGGTTGGAGGGTGGCATGGCCCAGGCACAGATCCCCTCCCAGCTCTCAGCTGTATTTAGCAAGGGATCTGCCAGAGGTTGGAGCCCCTGCCTAGGGGAGTCCAGCTGACCGGGGTACCTGTGGCCTCTAAAGGTACTCCTCCTGTACTATCTCCAAAGCAGGAATCACATACACCTGGCAGAATGCTCCTCTTCCAGCCCCTGAAGGAGTCTTGACCCCAGCCTGGAGCTGCAGGTTGGCCAGATTACAAAACTCAGATCTCTCAGGTGGGCCATCAGCATCCTGCCTAACTGTGGCCACCAACTCAAGGAAGTCCCCTGAAGGCTAACGGGCCTTATCTTCCCCTTCCTTGAGGTTTATCACATTCATGGTATTGCTGGTCTATTCACCTCTTCCAGGAAATAGATCTCCGGGGAAGCCCCCCACTTCTCACTGAGGTCAAGGCTCCTTAGGGATTGAAATGTTGGCCCCACTTCCTGGCTGCATGGCCTCTGGCTGGTTATTTCAACTCAAAGCCTCAATTTTAGCCCCTCTGAAAAAGAAGTAACCAGGAGGCTGAAAAGACTTAACAGCCTGGGCAAGCCCTGGTACTCTATGCCTGACAGTGAGTCCTCAGCTATGGACATGGACATTGGAGGACAGGATGAGTAGTAGAATCCGCACATGGGGTGGGAGTTCCTGGCTAAAGGAGACTCCATTTCTAGCCATTTCAGACCCCCAACATGCTTGCCCATCATGGGCCCAAGCCACACGAGTGACAGGTTCAGGGGACATCGTGAGGAAGGTAAGCCTCCCACCAGGCCAGAGCAGGCAGCATTTAGAAAGGCATCTAGTTGGGTCTCCAGGCAGAGCCTACAAGAGCAAAGGCATAGAGGCCAAATGGGGTGGAGAAGCACATGGGTCAGGGCCTGCTGGAGCTCAGGGCTCAGGCTGGAGACAGTAGGAAATGTAGGGGTGGGGGCAGGCTCAGTGGGGTCACTGGAGAGGCACAGAGATTCTTGGAAGAGACCAGCATGGATATTTTGAGCTCCCAGGCCTTGGCTGACCATGGACAAGGGGTGTAGGGAGCAGAGCGCCAGGACTCAGTGATATCCAAGTCCTTGCCAGGGTTGGAAGGGTCAGAGGAGGCCTGCTAGACACCCCCGACTCATCTATGGTAGAGGCCAGTTCCCACCTCTCAGACTTACCCCCGGGCCCTAGTAATCTAGGGACCCCCCCCTCCTTGCCCTAGCCTAAGGGGGATTCCCCGAAGGACCCTGGTGTGGGGGGCTCCCATCTTCTGTTTTTCCTCCGTTTTCTTTCCAGAAAAAAATGGAACAATAGCCCAGGCTCCTGCTCCCCACCCTCCCCACAGCTTCCTGTGTTTCCTGCTGCCCCTGGGCTGGCTTCCTGCCCCTGCTCCCTCCCTAGCCCAGCTGCCTGCCAGGGAGGAAAGAGCTGGGGGTGGGGGGGTTGCCAGAGAGGAAGGAGTCAGGGATTGCTCCCCTACTGTACCCCCCCCCCAGTTCCTCTGCTTCCTTCTCAGCATCTGAGCTGTTGTGGTGAAGGCACAGGCAAGGTGCCCTCAGCCTTTCTGAGCCTGGCATCTAACCTCCCAGACCCCAGTCCTAGGCCTGAGTTTCTGTCTGCAGGATTGGGGTGGGGGGAGTCCCTGAGCTGGGGGGACACAGGCAGGAAACAATGGCATGATTTTCCTGGACAATGGAGGCCTTGTGAAGAAGCCTGGCGGGGAGAGAGGGGGGAATTCTCCAGGCCCACGAGTCACAGGACTGACCGGCCAGCCCAGCCTGGGCCTGACCTCCGCCAATTCTCCCCATAAGGACCCCCCCCCTTCAATTGGAAACACAGGCCAGACCTCCCAAAAAGGAGAAGTAAGGACTATGGGGGGGGGGGGCGGAAGAGGCGTTGAGTTGCCCAGGCCATTCCCAACCCCCTCCCAGAGGCCAGTGAGGGGGCATGCTGGTGGCCAGATCTCCTTTCAAAGGCCAGTGAGCCCTAAGGAGGGGCTGCAGGGTTTGCCCCAGCCTTGGGGTCTCTAGCCCCCTCTCTCAGTGGCCCCTGACCTCTCCTGTCCAGGTTCTCCATCAGACATCATTACAGTAACTTGGGTTGGAACAAGTTCATGGCCCTAGCAGACAGCCTGGAGGAAGGGCAGGAGATGTAGAAACAAGATTTAGGCTTACCGGGATGGGGTTGGGGGTAGCAAAAAGATCATGATTACAAGAAGTTCTCAGATTTGGAGTGAGTTGTCCCACTCCGGGCCTCAGATTCCCCAATTGAAAAAGGGGAGACTGGTCCCTCCCGAGTTGTGGTACAGAAAGCACCTTGCCAGTCTGTGGTGTCCCATGTGCAGCCAGAGACCTGGCCAAGAGGCATCAAGGGCTGGTCCTCCAGAGGGAGCAGGCCTCAGGCTCTTCTCCTGCCCTATCCTGTCTTGGGTCCTCCTCAGATTAACTTGTGCTGAGCCTCCCTCAGTCAGACAAGAGGCTGCAGTGAAGCTGGAAGTAAGGAGTGACCCAGGGCAGAGGAGAGTGTGACAGATGTGAGCACAGCACCTCCAGGGCAACGAGCATGTCCAACACATCTGCCAGCTGTCAGACCTCCAGCGAAGACTTTGAAAATCCATAACTGGTTTGATATTCGTGTTGACCCTCTGAGATAGTTTTGTTGTCATCCTCAGCTTTATTAACTGTGTGGGACTCAACCCCAAGGCAGCTCAGAGGAATGGATGGATTTTGAGGTCGTTGTCTCAATTCAGAGAAGTTGCAGGAAAGTTTGTCGGCTCCTAGGCTCAGTGAAGGCTGTTGAGAGTGTGGGCACCAGGAGAGATGGGCAGCTGGATCAGCTTCTGTCTGGCCTAGAGCTCCAAGTGTAGAAGATGCCAGGAGAAGAGGAAGCTGGCACCTGAAAGAGGATGAGACAGCTTGGGGACAGCATGCAGAGGCTGAGGAGAGGCTGAGCTCCGAGGAGCCAAAGACAGCAGCAAGGGGTTGGGTGGTATCACCAGATCTCCCAGGAGACTATAGGCCTTGGCTAGCAGCAAGATCAAGGGTTATGGTTTTAGTCCCTCAAAGATGAACATCTGATTGCCACCTCCTCAGAGACATCCTCCTGACTCATCTGCCTTTGTAGCTGACTTCCCCTGTGGCCTGCCCCCAGTACCCATGCCACCCCCATCACAGCACTGGTGCCCTCAGCAGGAGAGCTGAGGAGTGCACCTTGATGGGCAGAAATAGATGTCACTTCTCTACCATGCAGTTGTCAATAACCAGAAGTAGAGAAGCCCTTTAGACCTTTGATGAGTCTATGACTTTATCCTCTTCCTAGTCCTCTAAAACTTTGCTCACTTGAGATGTTTTTGTCTTGGCAAGAGAGTTGCAAATTGCTGCTTCGCCTCCCTGTTCTAAGTATGGTGGCTCCATTTGGGTCAAAGCCAGGAGCCCCTGCCAAGTCTGGCCATCCACGCCCACGTTTGCCCAAAGCTCCTCCTTTGTGGCCAAGAACCATCACCCTTCCCATTCTCTTCACACCCAACTGCCTCAGCAGCTATCTTGTGGAGCACTTTGCTGGGAGTGGCTGCACTAGCCGCCCCATGATGTGGGCACTGGGCTTCCTTGCTCACCCAGGGCTTCCCTTCTGTTCCTACCCCGGGGGGACAGGGGGGATGTTCTGATTCATACTCCTGCTTCAACAAAATGACAGGATACTCACAGATTTCTCCTGAAATTGGAGCCACAAACACCAAAAATTAGCCTTGTTGCTAGTTTGTTTGTTTTTTGTATTTTTTGGTACTGGGGATCGAACTCGAACTTTCGCTTTCGAGGCAGTTGGTGGCACCACTGAGCTAAATCCCCAGCCCATCGTTGCTAGTTTTTATTCAAGACAGTATTAGGGGAAAGGTAGAGTAGCCAAGTGAGGTGTTGTGTACCTGTAATCCCTGATGCTCAGGAGGCTGAGGCAGGATCATTGCAAGTTCAAGGCCAGCCTAGGCAATTTAGTGAGACCCTGTCTCAAAATAAAATTGAAGAAGAGAACACTAGCTTTTGAACCACACAGAGCAATTTGAAATTTGTTTTATTTGCTGTGTGACCTTGCTTCCTGTATGACCTTGTCATTTCCCTGCTGTTTCCTTATCTAAAATAGGTGTGATATCTACCTCTTTTTTTTGGCGGGGGGCAGCCTCCCTATGTAGTTCAGGCTGGCGTCAAACTTGGGACGATCCTCCTGCCTCAGGTTCCAGAGGCCTGGGATTAAATAGGCATGTGCCACCACACCTGGTGTGGGTTTTTTTGTTTTTGAGTGCTAGAGCTAAGGGTGAAATATCTGGCTTCTAGGCGACCCTGGGTAAATGTGTCCCAGAATTGTTATTTTTGTCTAACTCCCCCCTCTCCCCCAAGCTGTGAGGTCTCCAGGACATCTGGCAAGTGATAGTTTGCTCCCAGCTCTTCCCTTGTTCCCCACCACCTGGACCTGGGACACTCACCATAAGTCCTGCGCCACTTCTTCCCCAGTTCTGCTGCTGCAGCCTATTGAGGGTGATGACATGGAACACAAGACCCTGAAGATCACTGACTTTGGCCTGGCCAGAGAGTGGCACAAAACCACACAAATGAGCGCTGCGGGCACCTACGCCTGGATGGCTCCTGAGGTTATCAAGGCCTCCACCTTTTCTAAGGGCAGCGATGTTTGGAGGTGCGGTTGATGTGGGGGCTGAGCAGGGTCTGCTGTGGGGCTGGTAGCGATGGTTGCCGAACCACAGGGGTGGGCAGACAGGCTGTGCCCAAGGGAAGGGACTCAAACTATTTAGTTCCTCATTGCTTTGGGGTGAAATAGCAGAAAGTGGGCAGAGGGCACATCGACCCTTTGTCTCCTTCACAGCTTTGGGGTGCTGCTGTGGGAACTGCTAACTGGCGAGGTCCCCTACCGTGGTATCGACTGTCTTGCTGTGGCCTATGGTGTGGCTGTTAACAAGCTCACACTGCCCATCCCATCCACCTGCCCCGAGCCCTTCGCACAGCTCATGGCCGGTAAGAGGACAGGATGGGTGGAGAAGGGCAGAACTCCCGCGCCCAGGACACATCCAGCCACAGACCGACCCCCTTCTTACTCTGCCTCCCCTTCCCGCTGTGCCCCTAGACTGCTGGGCACAGGACCCCCACCGTAGGCCCGACTTCGCCTCCATCCTGAAGCAGCTGGAGGCGCTAGAGGCACAGGTCCTACGGGAAATGCCACGGGACTCCTTCCACTCCATGCAAGAAGGCTGGAAACGCGAAATCCAAGACCTCTTCGACGAGCTGCGGGCCAAGGAAAAGGTGCAACGAGTTGGGGGACAGGTCCCCCTTCTCTCCCGCCTCCCCCGTCTCCTTGGGCCAAGAGTAGACGTGGGCGCCTTAGCCAGTGCTGGGCTGACCCCGCCGCCTTCCCTGTTCTGGCGCAGGAACTACTGAGCCGAGAGGAGGAGCTGACGCGTGCGGCGCGCGAGCAGCGGTCACAGGCAGAGCAGCTGCGGCGGCGCGAGCACTTGCTGGCCCAGTGGGAACTGGAGGTGTTCGAGCGCGAGCTGACTCTACTGCTACAGCAGGTGGACCGCGAACGGCCGCACGTGCGCCGCCGGCGCGGCACCTTCAAGCGCAGTAAACTCAGGGCTCGGGACGGCGGCGAGCGCATCAGTATGCCCCTAGGTAAACGGCGGCCCCAGGGCCCTGCCCCGCCTTTGGCTGGAGGCGGCAGGGCGGCAGACCCATTGGCTGCGTGGTTGAAGGGGTGGGGTCAGGTTTGTACTCTAGCGGCACTGGGACTGGTGTAGGGTGCTAGTGGTGGACCCATGAACTGGAAGGGGTAGGACCCGGAAGTCTTGTGGTTATGGGCGGGTTCTGAGGAAAATATTTGCATATTGGCCTGGGAGTGGCTGCAACCGGGAAGGGGCGGGACTCTGAAAGTTCTGGGAAGGCCTAGGGGGCGGGGCGGAGCAGCGCAGCTCCCGGCAACCTCCAGCGCCTGGCTGGTCCCACCGGTGGAGTTCTGCCTACTGGCTTTCCCTGTCTAAAACTTGGGTTACAGGGGGAACAATGAGGTTGCCTGGTCATGCAGCCACTGTGCTACTGCCTGTGTGGCCTGGAAGCCAGCCGAGGGCCCATGCTATTTGGAATCCTGGCTCTCCATCACAAACTCACATCTGCTCCTTCCTGCCCCAAACCCAGACTTCAAGCACCGCATCACCGTGCAGGCCTCACCTGGCCTGGACAGGAGGAGAAACGTCTTCGAGGTTGGGGCTGGAGATTCGCCCACCTTCCCCCGGTTCCGAGCCATCCAGTGTAAGGAGCTTTCCTGCCTCCCTGCCCCTTCTCTGAACTCCCAGCTCTTCCAAGCCCTATCCTCAAGTGGATCTCACCACTGTCTTCCTCCCTGTCCACGCTCCCTCCCCTTGCTGATTCTAGATTGCTTTGTCTAGTCCCCCGAGAAGCACTGTTTGCTTACTTTTTTAAAATGTCTGTTTTATAGATAAATGAAAAGGGTGATTTGCCACATAACTTTTAAATGGCAGAGATAGAATTCAAACCCAGGCAGTCGGTGTACTAACTCCTAAGCACCCAACGTCAGCTGAAGGAGTTATGAGATGCCTCACCTCACTGCTGGTCCCAGGACCCACCCTGGGGATGGCATGGGGCCCAGCCTGTGCCCATCCTCTAGAGTTGCCCCCCAAAGCCTGCCTGTTGTAATAGAGGAGGCCAGGGATCACCTCAGATTCCATTGGGTTCCTCCACAGTGGAGCCTGCAGAGCCAGGGCAGGCGTGGGGCCGCCAGTCCCCTCGACGTCTGGAGGACTCGAGCAATGGAGAACGTCGAGCATGCTGGGCCTGGGGTCCCAGTTCTCCCAAGCCTGGGGAGGTCCAGAATGGGAGGTGAGTCACCCGAGTGCCCCCACCTCAGTATCATCTGCCTCCCTCCCTCCAGTCCTGAGATACACAAAGCACCCCTCCCCTCCCCTTCCCTCACCAGGAGAAGGTCCCGCATGGACGAAGCCACTTGGTATCTGGATTCAAATGATTCATCCCCTGTAGGATCTCCTTCTCCACCCCCGACACTCAACGGTGAGTGGCCTCTCCCCAACAGGACCATGCTGAGAAGCCAGCAGGCAGAGCAGGAATCCTGCCCCGATAACACTCATTCTAGAGACGAGGAAACTGAGGACGAGACAGGATAGACCCAGTGTTAAAACCCAGGTCTGACCTACAGGCCCACAGCTGAGCTGGATATAGCCTGGGCCTTGGGAACTCCAAAGACTAGACCCCTGTTCAGTGCAGAGAATTGAACCTAGGACTTCTAATATGCTAGGTAAGTGCTCTACCATTGAGCTATATCCCCAACCTAAGTCCCCCTGTTCAGGCTTAGCCTGCAAGAGGGCTCTTTCCTGGCCCTGTGGCAGCTCTGTGTCCTCAGTAGCTGGAGGAAGGAAAGGAAGCAGGGAATGGTACCGCCTCATCTGGGACCCCAGGGAAGCAGGGTCCAGAGAAGAGAAGGAAATTGACTCTCTGGGGTGGAACCAGGTGAGTGGCCACCACACTGTTTCTGAAGAGTCCCTCCTGGGGAACCCATAAGTGGAGAAGAAAATAAGAAGGCCAAGCAGGCAGGGATATAGGACCTATTTTCATTACATCAGGGAAGTTTGAGGCTTTTCTGTTCTTCATGGTGATAACAGCACCTCCTATGTGCCGGACATTCTGTCCAACCCTGTGAGAGAGGTGCTATTATTATTTCCCTTTTAGAGATAAACTGAGGCTCCAAGAAGGAAAATAATCTACCCCAAATCCCCAGCTAAGGTTTTGATTCAATAGACTTTGACACCCATACTGTCAGCCAGCTTCCTTGGAAGCTTGAAGAAAGGGTTTCTCAGGTACAAACTGTGGAGGAAGTGAAAGGCTCTGGACCAAGCAGGGCTGCAGCATCGGGAAGATGAGGGCTCAGCTCAGCACTGCCTAGTCTTGGGAGGGGCTAGAGAGTTGTGGCCTCCCATGCCCATGGGTCCTTTTACCGACACAGGGACCTTCTTCTGAGCCCCCAGCCCTACCTGCTGCTCACAGCCAGAATGCTGGTTTGGTAGCTCTGGACCAGAACACTGTTCAGTGAGAATTTAGCTTCACCACTACTATGTCACTTTCCCCCAACCCATCACCTCCACCATTATGATAAATAGTAATGACAGCTATTTTTGATCACTTCTCCCCAGTGTGCTGGGAAATTCTGTGACATGAATGTTATTACCTCCATTTAACAGAGAAGGAAACAGGCACAGAAATGTTAAGTGGTTAGTGTGGGGAACCCAGAGCAGGGATTTGAACCCAGGTCAGTCTGACTTTAGAGGCAGGGCTTTGGATCCCCATTTTTTGCTCTAGTTGTTGCACTGCCCCAATCTGGCTGTGCTGCTTGGGCTGAACTGAAAACTAGAAGGCCAGGAGGGTTGGAGTCACCTGTTCTAAAATGTACTGGGCCAGCAGGACCAATGAAGAACTTGAGGTCTTGTCAACCAGGTATGTAAGTCAAAGCAGTGCCTGGCCTTGTTCTGCAGAGCCATCTGGCCTTGCTTGCCCTCCCTGGGCTCCCCAAGACAGAGACACAGGGGCTGAACCTCATTATTCTCAGGCTTGTCATTGTACATGAAAGGACAGCACCACCTACCCCAGCATAGTCACTGCTGAGCACTTGCTTTCCCTGCCCCAAGTCTGCACTCCAGCTTGCCGTTTGGGCCCACAAGAGCACATGACCTTGACCTCTAGTCACTCTCAGAATCAGCAGCCTGGTTGAGAATCAAAGAATGGGACCTCACAGAAGTTCCAGACTCTGGGAATGTCCCAGGCATAAGCCAGCATCAAGACTCTGCATCCCCACCACCCTGTCCCCAGCTAGATGTCCTGACCCCTGGGGACCTGCTTGCGCTGCACAGCACACTGGCAGGGTGCATTTAGTCCACACTGACTGAGTGCTGGGATTACAGGCATGTGCCACCATACCTCTTGGCTATGTGTGGTGGTACATGTCCGTAATCCCAGCTACTCAGGAGACTTGGGCAAGAGGATTTCAAGTTTGAAGCCAGTTTGAATAACTTAGTAACTTACTGAGACCCATCTCAAAATAAAAGATGAGGGCTGGGGACTTAGCCCAGTGGTGCCACACCAGCCTGACAAGTGCAAGGTCCTGAGTTTAATTCTCGGTACCAGAAAAATAAATAAAAGATAAAAAAGGGCTGGGAATATAGCTTGGCTCAAAGGACCTGGGTTCAACCCTCAGTACCTCAAAGTCAGAGGGCTAATAGTATAGCTTAGTAGTTGAGCACCACTGGGTTTGATACAGCAAAAACAAACAAAAACTATGCCTCTCCCCATCTTCTTTTTAAACTCACTATAAATTATCAGTTTCTTCACCTGTGAATTGGGGCTTATAATAATCACCTCATGGCCAGACAGGGTGTTCCACGCCTGTCATCCCAGCATTTTCCTCCTGAGGCAAGAGATTTGCCATGAGTTCCAGGCCACCCTGGGCTGCATACTAAGTTCAAGGCCAGCCTGAACTACATAATGAGACTCTAGCTCAAAAAACAAAACAAAACAATCACCTCATGTGGTTGGTGCAAGGATTATAGGAACAGATTCTTCCCTAAAATATGTATTGATGCAGTATGAGCCAGTTAGCAGCATGGTAGAGCTCAACCTTGCTGGGACGTTCTAGTCTGGTGGAGGAGGCAAACTCATAATAAGCAAGCACAGCAGAGTTTAGTCAGTACTGGGGATAAGGGCGATAGTGTAACATGAGCAAGAACTGTACAGGTTTGAGGGATTCTGGGAAGGCTTCACAGAGGAAGTGACATCTCAGCTGCAACTTAGGTGGTAAGTGAGGTCACTGAAAGAAGAGATCGAAAACTGCCCGTCAGAAGGAATAGTACGTGCACAGACAGGGAGTCAGTCAGGCCTGAGGCAATGGGTGAAGGCATGAGGGTCAGTAGATGTTTGTTAAGTGAGTGCCAGAAAAAAGCTGGAAAAATAGGCAGCAGCCAGTTTAGGAAGGGCCTGAAAATGATGGAGAGTTTTGAAAAGGAGACCGGTCATCAGCAGCTTTGCATTATATTTATTTATTATTTTATTTTATTTTACGGGGTACTGGGGATCAAACTCAGGACCTTGTGCTTATGAGGCAGGAAGTGACACCACTGAGCTACATCCCCTGCCAGCTTTGCTTTTTTTTTGGTACTGGGGATCGAACTCAGGACCTTGCGCTTGCAAGGCAGGTGCTGGAACCACTGAGCTAAATCCCCAGCCCAGCTTTACATTTTAGAGGGACTCCAGGAGCCCCCAAGTGGCCAAGGGTGGGTGGGAGGAGAAAAGAGCCAGAAAGATTGGATGAGGATTGTGATTAAGGACAGTGACACCAGGCCAAGTCCTGCTCACAGCAGAGGCTCACATATCTCCCTCCAGACTACAAGCCAGAGCTGTACTCTAGAGAGGCCTGCTCGGTGCCTGGCCCAAACAGGAGGGAAAAGGCAGAAGGGATGAGGCCAGAGAGAACTTCGGCAGCCCACCTGAGGAGGCTGGACTTTCTTCTGGTGGCAGTGAGAGCTAAGGAGGAGTCTGACAAAATCAGGGCTTTAAAAAAAAAAAAAATCAGGGCTTGTGAGAGGCCATCTGTCCTAGATGTCCTTGCACTCCCACTCCACGACAGATTTCCCAGCCCCACTCCAGGTGGCCTAGAATGGAGTCAGGCCAGCCCTAAGCCTGATGCCTTAAATCTGGGATCTCTCTGCTCCACTGCCAGGAGGGAGGCCAGCTCCACCCCTCGATGGCTGTGAGGCCTTGTGCAACCCCTTAGCCCCTCTGGGGCATGAGGGTCAGACAAAACAATGCCTGTAAATCGTCCAGCTCAGGCCTGGTAGAAATGCAGGCACTGTAAACTGGCTGCGACCTCAGGCAAGGCACTAGCTGCTCAGTCTGTCTCTGGAATGTTTGCCCCTCGGGACTGTTGTGTACATTGGAGGTGACCTGTATGCTACTGCTGGAGCTGGAGCTGCTGCGCAGAAGGGCTCAGGCTACATGGCCAGGAAGGGCTGGTCCCAGAGCCTGCCCTGGCTGGCCATGGAGAAGGCCTCCAACTTCCACCTGCTACTTAGACACCTGTCCTTCCATGTCTGGGCTCCAGGATGCCTGGCCACCTCCCAGGCTTTGCTCCTGCTGGTTCCTCTGCCTGCACTGCCCTGTCCTAACCCTGTGTGCCTGGTGAAAGGAAGGGATGCTAGGGGCAGGGGCCGTTAGATAGGGAGGAGCTGGGCTAGGGGATGGGCAGTGGAGCCAGGGAAGGTACTAATGGGACATAGAGCTCAGGCCTTAGTCCAATGCCACAGAGGGTCCCCAGGTCCCCACCAAGAAAAGGTTCCAGCTACAGTCTAATCTGTGCCACCCCTACCTGCAGGTAACCCCCTTCGGCCAAGCCCAGAGCCTGAGGAGCCACGGAAGCCCGGAGCTACAGAGCGGGGCAGCAGCTCTGGGACCCCCAAGCTGATCCAACGGGCACTGCTTCGAGGCACTGCCCTGCTTGCCTCCCTGGGCCTTGGCCGTGATCTGCAGCCACCTGGGGGCCTGGGCCGTGAACGTGGGGAGCCCCCACCAGCGCCACCAGCACCAGCAACGTGCCCTGCTGCCACCGAGGCACCCCCTACCCCTATCATCCACCTCTCCCCAAAGATGCCCAACACCCATGGCCTGCCCTCTCCTGTGCCCCTGCTGCTGGACCTGAGTGTCTCTGCTGGCCAGCCGTCTGCCAAGAGCCCCCGGCGGGAGGAGACACACGGTGAGTGGCCCTGAGGCAGAGGAAAAGATGTTGGGAGGGTGCTGAAGAGGACTTGCAGGGAGCCTGGGACTACGGATGTCTACTGGTCCCCAAACTGGGCTCTGGGGTGCTAGGGACTCAGGTAGAGCGTTGAGGCCAAGTTGAGCTGTGCAGTGAGCCAGAGTGGGCTGGACCGCCAGACCAGTTGCGAAATGACAGGAGTGATAACGACAGACTCCTCCTGTTGGTTGATTATTTGTACCAGGTACCATTTGCTATTCTTTAGATAAATTGTCTCATTTAATTATAGTAACAGCCCTATGAACTAAGCAGTCCTAGGATACCTTTTTTTTTCCTTTTTGTGTTACCAAAAGAAAAGTGCAGGTTGCCCCCCTTGAACTCAATATGTAGCCCAGGCTGACCTCTAACTCACGAAGATCCTCCTGCCTCAGCCTCCTGTGTGCTGGGATTACAAGTGTGTGCCACCACACCTGGCTGAATTTGTGATCCTTTTGCCTCAGCTTCTGGAGTGCTGAGTACTGGGACTATAGGCATGGACTACCACACCTGGCTTTTGGATTGGTTTTTGGAGACACAGTTTCTCTCTGTAATCCAGGCTGGCCATGAACTCACTGTGTAGCCCATGCAGACCTCAAATTGTTGGCAGTCCTCCTACCTCAGCCTCCTGAGTTCTGGGATCACAGGTGTGTACTACTGTGTCCATTTTTTAGATCAAGAAATTAAGGCACAGAGATTAAGGGGTTCCCAATTCCTACAACTTGTAAATGGCACGGCTGGAGTCCAAGCTCAAGCCTGTCTGTTCCAGTTGCTGTGCCTTTAACCACTGGTAATAAATAGGTGCACCAAGGAGCATAGAGAGCCATGGAAGTCATGAGTCAGGTAATGTAGTTCACTGTGCAGGTGGGGAAACTGAGGCCCACTTAACCCATGCCCTCCTATATCCTCACAGGAGGCACCGTCTCACCCCCACCAGGAATATCACGCTCTGCTCCTGGCACGCCAGGCACCCCACGCTCACCACCTCTGAGCCTCATCAGCCGACCTCGGCCCTCTCCTCTCCGCAGCCGCATCGACCCCTGGAGCTTCGTGTCAGCCGGGCCACGGCCTTCACCCCTGCCCTCACCACAGCCTGTGCCCAGACGGGCACCCTGGACCTTGTTCCCAGATTCAGATCCCTTCTGGGACTCCCCACCTGCCAATCCTTTCCGGGGAGGCCCCCAGGACTGCAGGGCGCAGACCAAAGACATGGGTGCCCAGGCCCCATGGGCACCAGAGGCGGGACCTTGAGTGGGCCAGGCCACTCCTCCATGCTCCAGCTGCCTTAGAGGAGCCACAGCATACACTGGAATGGGAGCCAGGCAGGCCTCTGTGGCTGCCTCAGTTCCCCCCGGGACCCTGCCACCCCCAGGGGGCTCTGGAACACTACACTGCACAGGAAGCCTTCACACTGGATGGGGGCCCTATACCCCACTACACACACCTGTGACCTGTAGGTCCCCTTGACTTACCTGCCCCACTGGGGCCTGACACTGTACTCAGCTGGTTGAGAGGACCAGAGCCTGTCTCAGGGAATCACCCCCAGGGGTGGTGCAGGGAGGAAGGGAGGTTTGGGGGAGGGGGTCAGCCTCAGCTGTCACCAGCACTTTTGACCAAGTCCTGTGTCCTGCTACTGTGGCCCTTACCCCAGGGTTCGTGCCTGGACCCCCTGCCCTTGGGGTTATGGGAGCCAGGGCTTTCTGGGTGCCTTCCTGCTCTCCCAGCCAAGGTTAGGCCTTGGCCTTGGGAGCCAATGAAGCCAAATAAACTTGTAAGCTGACTCCCCAAATGCAGCTTTCACCTTCCCTGGAGGAAACCAGGAGACTCAACCTGTCCTGGGACCCTGGTGTCCTCACTCCCCTAACACAACAGACGGATGGTCTGGGCCTAGGCCAGGATGTCTTGTGCCACACCCTTCACCTAGGAACATGCCACCTGCCCTACTCAGTCATTGAAGACTCTTCTTGATCTCTGACACCCTGCACACTTGCCCAGTCCACCTTCTCTCAGCCTGTGCCAGAGCTTTACCACTCCACATCTTTCCATAGGCCATTGCCCCCACTCAGGTGACCATGCTTGTCCTGTGGCTGAGTGGGCCTGCCCATTCTTTGTGCCCAGTTGCCACATCTCCCCAGGACCTTTCTTGGCCATGCTGTCCCAACCGTAGGCAGATCATGAGGGTTTCCCCTGGGTTTATTCCACCTCACTCCCCTACCGTATCCACCTTGAACTCCACCATTCCTCTCCCATCTCTCTGCCCAGGCCATCACCATCCCACCAAGGACGCCTCCGTATTGTCCTGTGGGCTCCCTGAGCCACAATTGTCCTCAAAGGCCTGCGTCCTTACCCCCTCCATGGCCAGTGCCCAGTCCTTCCCACACCCCAGGCACTTGCCCACCATGCTTCTCATGCCCCAACCGGCAGCCCTCCCCCAGAACACCCATTACCTGGGCGTTTCCTGCTCCTCAGAAACCTATGACAAGGTGCAGATGTTGTATTTCTTTGCTCATGGCTTTTTTATGTGAGCACCAGGAGGGAAGGGACCTGTGTCTGAAATGGGGTGTGTGCAGTGGACAGAATATTTCTGTGAAGAGGTGTGAGGCTCGCTCTGGGCCTGGGCTTCTCACCCTGCCCTCATCCTCACCACCCTAGCTGCTGTGAAATGGGTAACAAGATCTTGGCCCCAGAGACTGGGAGGAGTGCCGCAGCTTACCTCCCTGCCATTCGTGATTACGCCAGCTCTGTCTCAGCCACCCACACAGCACCTCCTTCCAGCCTCGCCCTGCATGGCCCCTCCCATGGGCCAGTGGTGAAGCAGGTAGCTCCCACAGTGCTCCGAACTCAGCACTGCACTATGTGGGTTCTGAGGCCTTGGACCCGATACGCGCTCCTGGTTGTAGCCCACATGCTGGCCATGGGGCTAGGGGCTGTGGTTCTCCAGGCCCTGGAAGGTCCTCCCGCACTCCAGCTCCAGGCCAAGCTCAAGGCTGAGCTAGCTGCCTTCCAGGCAGAGTTTGGGGCCTGCCTGCCACGTGGAGCCCTGGAGGAGCTGCTGGCCACAGCCCTGAGGGCACAGGGCCATGGAGTCTCCGGCTTGGGCAATAGCTCAGAGGCCAGCAACTGGGACCTGCCCTCAGCCCTGCTTTTCACTGTCAGCATCCTCACCACTGCGGGTAAGGCCACCAGGCAGTCCAGGAGGAATAGACTCTTGAAGCCATGGCTCCCTGAGGCCCCTGGGAGTACAGTCCTGTCCTTGGCCCCAAAGCACCAGATAGAGCCCAGGCCCTATCCGGTCGGACATCACAACTGGGGTGTCCCACACTAACACATCCCAACTGGTGCCTCCACTTCAGCTGCCAGGAGGGCTGTGGCCTCCCCAGCCCCACCCCTAGGCACCCTTTGAGAATCAGGAGAGGTGCCCAGACCTCACAAAGGCCTGAGGCAAGACAGGGAATGCAACACAGTGGGATGGAGAGGTGGGGGTGAGGGGACAGACCAGGACTACCAGCTCAGGAGAGGCATAGGAAGTCCTAATGAGTCGTTGATCAAGGCAAGAGGGCACACAGTTAAGGGGTGAAGGACTTCCTGGTAAAGGGGTCACCACATGCTTAAACCCCAAGAAATAAAACAAGGGATGCAGCCCTAGGTTTTGGGGGTTTTCTTTGTCCTGTGAAGCATGTATGTATTTTATTGTGGTGCTGGGGATCAAACCCAGGGCCTTGCTCCTTTTTTTGGAAACTGAAGAAACCATACAGAGCCTGAATCCCCACAAGGCAACATACTGGCTGGAACAGAACAGGGCCTGCCTCTAGGCAGAGCTCAGACTCCAGCCCACCACTCCCTCTAATCTTTCATCAAGCTCCTCTGAGCACAGTTTGTAACCACTGGACCAGCTGGTCCTGTTCTCCCAGCATGCCCTGCTCTCCCATCTTTCCTAACCTTCCCTGTCCCTCTCTGTCCCCAAACTCCCTCTGCCACTTTGCAGCCCTACTCATCAACACAACTGCTCTTCCTGCTTGCTGTCCCCTCACTTATCAAAAGTCAAGGCCCTGGGCCGGGGATTTAGCTCAGTGGTTTTGCCACCTGCTGCGCAAGCACAAGGACCTGAGTTTGATCCCCGGTACCAAAAGAAAAAAAAAAGTCAAGGAAAAGTCAAGGCCCCAGGCCGATTCAGATTCCAACACCAGGCCTGACACATAGGAAGACAGGTCACACCTTTGGGGAGTGGGAAGAAGGTGGTGACATATCACCATTTGTGGATTTGGAAGTATAGGATAAAGGCAGAACTAAATAATATCTCAGGAAGCCAACATCAGGCTGAGAATGTAGCTCAGTGGTAAAGCACTTACCAATTATGCACATACTTGCTTATCATGCAAGAGGTCCTGGGTTCAATCCCCAGCTCAGAGAAAAAGGAAACAGAAAGCCAGGATCTTTCAAGATAGCAGTTCTCTGAATTGTCCTAGCTGCAAATGTCCTGAGGGATTGTCTTCTTTCATTTTCCGGAAAAGAATGGCTGGGAGGTAAAGAGGCTTGCCCCAGGATCCCCAGTGAAGGAACTGGGCCAGAAGAGTTCATGCAATTTTGGCCACCAGAAGGCAGCCTTCAGTGGGATGTAGCAACAGGGGACCCCAGCAGGCATCCCACTCAAGAGCTCACGGTCTGCTTCCCCTCTTCTCCTCAGGTTATGGCCATATGGCCCCGCTCTCCCAAGGTGGAAAGGCCTTCTGTGTGGTCTATGCGGCTCTAGGGCTGCCAGCTTCCCTAGCACTTGTGGCTGCCCTGCGCCACTGCCTGCTGCCTGTGTTCAACCGCCTGGGTACCTGGGTAGCCAATCGCTGGCAGCTGGCACCAGACCAGGCTGCACTGTTGCAGGCAACAGGACTGGGCCTTCTAGTGGCTGGCATCTTTGTACTACTCCCAGCCCTGGTGCTATGGGGTCTACAGGGTGATTGCAGCCTGCTGGAGGCCATCTACTTTTGCTTCAACTCACTCAGCACCATTGGCCTGGGAGACTTGCTACCCGGCAGTGGCAGAAGCCTGCACCCAGTGATTTACCAGCTTGGCCAGGTCGCACTTCTTGGTGAGTCTGGGGAGGAGGGAAGAAGAGCCTAGACTATGATGTCATGATCCCCTGGGGACTGACATCACAGGGGAGAGATCCTCCCTCAGGCATTGTTTGGAAGTAAGTAGTAGTCTAAAGAAGCCCTGTGGCAGCAGCAGTGAGAGGTGTGAGTAGCGCCTGGTGCCAGGGTGGTTGCCATGCTGGGAGTGGGAGCATTGTGGGTACCATAAGAGCTGCCCTAGCATTCTCCTCCCCAGGTTACTTGCTCCTAGGGCTCCTGGCCATGCTGCTGGCAGTAGAGACCTTCACAGAGCTGCCACAGGTCTGTGCCATGGTGAAGTTCTTTGGGGCCAGTACCTCTGTGACTGCTGAGGACCAAGATGGCATTATGAGCCAGGATGAGCTGGCTCTGAACAACCTGCCTCCTGCCACCCCTGGCTGTGAACAGGCCCTGGCTTGCTAACAGGTGTCAGGTGACTTCACCCAGCTCCTCTGAGGTAGAGGATCCTGAGGAGGAAGCAGCCATGAGTACTTGGAGAAGAATCTGGAGATGGCAGGGGGGGTGGTGGTGAAGATTTTAGGGAATTATGTGTTAAATTTTTAAAAAGGCAACATCTCCACTTTGTTTTGTGTCTTCTTTTGTTTTTGTTTTTTTAGTACTGGGGACTGAGACAGGGTTTGCTTAGGCTGGGCTGGAACTTGGTGATCCTCCTGCCTCAGCCTCTCAGAGTGCTGGGATTACAAGTGTGCACCACCACACCCAACTACAAGTCTTACATCAAAATGAGACTTCCCGAAGGCAATCGTCCTTAGAAGGTGGAGTTCCAGCCTCAGCAGGCATCTGGAAACCACCAGTCACTCAAGGCTGCCCAGGTTTAGGGTAGCAGAGATGACATTATAGGCCTAAGCTCCACCCGCTTCCACCCATTGAAGCCCAAGCTGTCCTAAGAATGGTCCAGTGCTGCTGTTTCCTTGTCCAACTTTACTGCTGGCCAGGAACAGGAAGGGGAGGAGAGCACAGGCACCTTTCCCCATAGAGTCCCTCTTCCCAGGCAGTCGCCCAGGCCCACCCACTGGGGAAGGGTCCTGCTCATTGAACCAAGAACACACACACACACACACACACACACACACACACACACACACACGCATACTGACAAATAAATACGGGCAGCCTAGTGAGGGTGTCTCCGAGGCCAGGTCCGCTGCAGCACAGGCTGAGGAGCAGTGAGTGAGCACCAGGAACAGGCAATGCTTTGGCCTGGGCCTGGGGGCCAGGTGAAGGTGAGGCAGGCTCAACTCAGCTCAGCTCAGCACACAGCGTTCCCGACGGCTCAGCTGCCGGCTCAGCTTGCGACGCCGCTGCTCCAGGCCGCGCTCCAGGCGCTCATCTTCCTCCAGGGCACTGAGGGTGGGGTGGGGGCCTCAAGTCAGCCTCGGCATTGTCCACTGGGGCTCCAGACCCAGCACTACCAGCTCAGATGGGCCCCCACTTACATCCGTTCCTTTTGGTCCAGGTTCCGGACCAACTGGTCACGCTGGTTCACCAGTGACACCAGCTCCTCCAGCAGTAGCTGTTCTCGGTGCTGCTGCGTAGCTGTTTTCTGCCAGTCTGAGAGTCCAAGAGCCTGAGTCAAGTGGTGCCCAGCCTGGCCCTGTCCTACCTGTGGCCCCTCCATCCCCATCTCCCACCTTCGATGGCCAGCATGGCACGAAGCTCACGACTCAGCAGCTCGAACCTTCGTTCCAAATCCTGCTCCTCAATGCTGGGAGGCAAGGGTGTTAGGTCAGGGAGGGGGTGAGAGCAGGGCTCTGACACTCCCCCACCCCAGCCTGCCTCCCCCTCCTTCTCATAGAGGGCTGGGCTGATCGCTAATGTTTATGTGGCCTCTCCGCCCCTCTCTTGTAAAATAAGAAACAATTATTTAAATGGAAGCAGTGGACTACAATTGTCCTGGAACAATGCAAATGCAGACAGGCAAAGCTCTCTCCATCAAGTGGCTGACCTGAGAAGACCTCTACGGCTTCTTTTCCTTACTGTAGAGGCAAAAAGTCAGACTGGAGGACATAGCCTCCAACCTTCCCAGGGCACATTCTGCTGCTGGCCTCAGTTTTCTCATCAATAAAGATAGTAGTCTTTTGTATGTGTGATATTGGGGAACTGAACTCAAGGCTTTCACACTGAGCTACATCCTAGCCATCTATTTATTTTGAAACAGAGGCTAAGTTATTCTGACTGGCTCAAACTTGCAATCCTCGTGCCTCAGCCTCCCAGAGTGCTGGGATTACAGGTGTGCATCACCATGCCTGGCAAGACAGTACCAGTTTAAGAAGTATACAGATTGCAAACGAAAAAGACAGGGCAAAAATTAATAAGATGGCTGAACAATAAATTTTAAAAGATCTTTGAAAGAAGAAAGAAGAGAGCAGTGAATACAGTGGTTGTAACCGAAGTAGTATAACTAAGATTCCTTGCACTGGACTGCCCTCTGTCAGCAGTGGTGCAGCCGGAGCTGTAGGGTGGGGCGGGGCCTGAGCAGGTGGGGGTGGGGCCTTGGGTCAGGGCGGGGCATTGGAGCTGGGAGGGGCCTGGCCTGGGCCGGTAGGGCGGCACTCACAGCAGCTGCAGCTGGTCCTGTCTCCGGATGAGCGCGTTCTTCTTGTTGACCAGTGTGAACCACTCCTGAATCAGAATCTCCTCCTGCAGCCGGTTAGCACCTGAATCAAACCACGACAGTCACCATCGGTGAAGGGCAGCTGGGGCCTGGAGGAGGGGCTTGCTTGCTATGTATCTCCAGGAGGCTGCTTCCCACTCGGGGCTCAGCATGCTCACTGTAAAATGCCTCCACATTCCTCCTCCTAGCTCCACCCACAGCCAGAAGGAGCTACAGGGCTGGGCAGATAAGGTGGTGGCCCCAGGTATCCACCCACCTGACTGCATGAGGCTCCTCAGCTGCACCTCCACCTCAGCCGCCCGCCCATCTATCTGCCTCTGCTCCTGTTCCAGGGCCTGCAGCTCTGCGAACACGTACTGACTTGTGTCCTGGAACCGTTGCTGGGCACAGAAAAGGGGTCAACAGGCCCCGCCTAGAAATGCCCACCCATCAGTCCCCCCATTTTAGCCCTCCTTACCAATCTAGCCTCCTCCCCTGGACTTGGGGGTTGCTCTTCCAATGGGGGACTCCCACCTGCAGACAAAGACCAGGCTAAGGCACCCACAAGAAGTGCCCCCAGATGGTCTCCACTCCAGGATTTCTCAGTGGCCTGAGCTAAGCCACGCCCCCTCCAAAAGTACTCACCAGGAGGCTGCTGTGGGGCTGTGGTTGTGGGTGGGCCAGGGGCAGGGCTGAGGTCAGGAATCAGGCCTTCCTGTGGAAAAATGGGGCAAGTGAGGGCTGGGAGGGGCTCCCTGACAGCCCCAGCCAGAGCCTCTCACACACAGGGGAGGTGGGGTCCTCAATCCCAGACCCTCCGCCCAGCCACTTCTCCATCCTGCAGGACTTCCTCCTTTTCAAGTAAAGACCAGGTAGAGCTGGGGATTTAGCTCAGTGGTTCCACCACCTGCCTCGAAACCCCAAGGACCCTCGTTCGATCCCCCGTACCAAAAAAAAAGAAAAAAAAGAAATCAAGTAAAGACCAGGCCTTCACTTCCCAGGCTATGGTCTTGGGCCCATCCACACCCATCCTCTGAACCTCAAAGTCCTCTGGGCTGCTGACCCTGATCTCAGAATGAAAGTCAGGTCTTCTGTCTCCCTCCCACCTCTCCTCCATGCAGCCCCTTCGGGTCATCTTTGACTCCTGTCACTTCACGTTGGCATCTCCTCATGGCCAGGGCCCTTTGAGGTGATACTGAGCTGACTCAACGCAGCCCCATTTCTTGACCTAGGCTTACCTAAACCACCACTGCCATCTCCAAACCAAAAGAGGGCGCCCTCCCACCATATCGGTTCCCATACCTAGACCCAGTTCTAGTCTTAATGTATGACATTAAGAATCAGGCATAGGGCCAGGGATTTAGCTCAGTGGTTCCACGGCCTGCCTTGAAGAAAGTGCAAGGTCTAGAGTTCGATCTCCAGTACCAAAAAAAAAAAGAACCAAGCAGGTTGGCTGGACCTGCAATTTTACCCTACTGTGGCCCACTCCTGGTGACTTGCTGGGATTGTCAGCTCTGGGGACATCCAGCTTTGGGCTCGGCTGACAGACCAGTGCTGTTCTAGCTATCCTTCTGGGTCACAGGATGGAGAGAAGGGTTGACAGCCTATGTCTGCCTCTACCCATATCCTCTGAGAGGCAGCCCTGGCCATCCCTACCCTATGTGCCATCCTTTCCAGCCTGGGTCAGGGGTAGCCTCCTCACCAACTGCCACCATTCCCTGCCTGCAGCTCTGCCCTCAAGCCACAACCAAGAAGTCTTCTGAAACTCTCACCCAATGGTGTAACTGCACCCCTTCTTGGCCCCAAGTCTCACTGCCAAGGTCTGTGGGCAGCTCTAGCCTCAACTCCTCGAGCCCCACCTAGATGCCACCCCCTGGCCACAGACCTGGACTTTCAGTTCCCTGAAGAACTTCCTCAGGCTGGAATCAGCCTCCATCTTGAGCTGCCCCAAACAGACCTGATCTCTGATCTCTATGACTCAGCTCAGCCCTCCTTCCACAGAGGCCCCTGAGCCCCTAAACCTCTCTCTCTGCCTCCTTCCCAGCCTTCAGGCCTCCAGAAGTCTGGACTGGGCAGATGCTACCCCCTGGGGCTGCTCCAAGACAGCTGGGAGCCAGCCACTTCCTGGTGCTGTTGATTCCCCATGCCTCCCTGACCAGAGGCAGCCCCTTCAGAGAGTTCCCAGGGTACACTGATTAAAAATAATGGCTATGGGGCTGGGGATTTAGCTCAGTGGTGCTGCCGCCTGCCTTGCAAGCGCAAGGTCCTGAGTTCGATGCCTGGTACCAAACAAAACAAAACAAAAAAAACCAAAATAATAATGGCTAATGTCACCTAAGCATTTATGTAGTATATATACACATTGATTCATTTCCATCCATTGTTTTCCCAACAACCCTGGGAGGCAGAACTATTCCCTCTCTCACTTTACAGATAGGAAACTGAGGGTTGGAGATGAAGCTCGTACAGGGTGTGGCTACATAGGGTTGTCTAACCCTCTTGTTGTTTTGTTTTGTTACCAGGGATCAAACTCAGGACCTTGTGCTTTTGAGGCAGACGGTGGCACCACTGAGCTAAACCCCCCACCCCCTAGTTTTTTGGTTTTTGTTTTGCAGTACTGGGGATTTGAACTCTGGGCCTTTGAGACAGGGTTTCATTAAACCCAAATTTGTTCCCAAGCATGGATATCCACTGGGCTTGTGTCCTGTTATGTGAAACAGGGAGAAACCTCAGCCCTGTGTTGACCAAGGAGGTGCAGGGTTCCAGAAAGGCATCTGAGGAAACATGCAGCTCCTCACCTTTTTTTTTTTTTGGTACCAGGGATTGAACTCAGGACCTTGCACCTTTGAGGCAGGGAGCAGAACCACTGAGCTAAATCCCTGGCCCTGCTCCCCGCCTTTCTGACAGCACCGGCAGTGGGGCGAGCCCACATCCTACCTTGCAAAGAGCTTTCCTCCTCTTCCTCAGGGAAAGAGATCACAAGTCAAAAGCTTTGCCCAAGGTCACACAGCCAGGCAACAGTGCTGGGCCCAGCAGAGGGCGCTATGTCAGAACTCAGGCTCACATGGGCCTGTAATCCCAGCACTCTGGGAGGCTGAAACAGGAGATTGGAAACTTCTATCCTAGCCAAGGCAATTTACTGATTTGGCAAGACCCCATTTCAAAATACAAAATAAAAAGTAAAGGTCTAGAGAAGTCAGGCGTGGTGGGCCAGCCAGGGCCACACAGTGAGTTCAAGGCCAGTCTGAACTAAAGAGTGAGACCTTGTCTAAAAAAAAAAAGAAAAGAAAGAAAGGGCTGAGGATGTAGCTCAGTGAGAAGGCCCTGGTTCCATACTCAGTACTGAAAAGAAAAAAGAAAAAAGCTGGACATGGTGGTGCATACCTAAAATGTCAGCCAGCACTCTGGTAGGCTGAGGCAGGAGGATCACAAATACAAGCTCATCCTGGGGAATTTAGGGAGACCCTGTCTCAAAAAAAAGGCTAGATCATTGGGTGTGGTGGCTCCTTCTGTGATTCCAGTGCTCTGGAGGCCAAGGCAGGAGGCTCACTGAAAGTTTGAGGCCAGCCTGGGTTACACAGTGAGTTCAAGGCCAACCTGAACTATATATAGCAAGACCTTGTCTCAAAAAACAACAAAAGGGCCAGGGATTTAGCTCAGTGGTGCTGCTGCCTGCCTCGAAAGTGCAAGGACCTGAGTTCGATCCCCAGTACCAAAACAAAAAAGGCCAGGCATGGTGGTTCACAACTGTAATCCCAATCCTTGGGAGGCTGAGGCAGGAGGATCACTGAAAGTTTGAGGCCAGCCTGGGCTACATGGCGAGTTCAAAGTCAGCCTGGACTACATAAGGAGACCCTGTCTCAAACAAAACAAAATACTGCCCCCTTAGAAAAAAGAAATAGGCAGAGGATGAAGCTCAGTATTAATGGCTTGGCCTTGGGTTCAATCCCCACTATATCTCTCCATCTCTCCCTCTCTCCCTCTCTCTCTCTCTCTCTCTCTTACAAAGCAGACTTTAAAAACAGTGGCTCTTCACAAACAGATGCCCAGAAGGTAACTAAAAGCAGAACAAAGGTTGACCTTCATTTTGTTTTTTTTGAACTTTGCAAACACACTTTAGTTTCCTTCTAAAGTCAGAAGCACATATTTTAGTAATATAAGCTTAAATTATAATAAATGTAATTACCTTTATTCTTTTTCACTCTCTCAGTTGCAAAAATTTCTTTTAGTTTCTGACAAAGGCTCTTTATCTATTTCAGCACTGATTTTTATCAAAATAGTTTCTGGTTTTGAAAACCACTGTTCCAACAAAGGCCAGTTGTCCCAGAAGCCTATAATTCTATTTTGTATGTGATCTCTTAAGTTCTGGTACCCATGCTTATCTTGGTTTTCAGCAGCGCCATGTTGACCAATATCTTTATGAGCCATTTCATGAAAATTCTTCAGCTTTGATATCATTCATGTGACTTAGCAAGAAAGTATCTGAAATATCTAGCAATATGACAGTCAAATGCAGAAGGAAGAGGCATTCTTTTGAAGCTGTAGGATCCACAGCCAACGTGGAGATTTGTATTTTCTTTGCCTCCATTTCTACGAGGTTTCTATTGTAGCCGGTGAGAGCTTCCTCTAGAAGCCGTGCTTTGTTTAATGTCATTGGAAAACCATCAAGAATCCACCCTTGATTCACAGGTATCTCATTAATAGCATTTACTATGATGTTAACTAATGACAGGCCTGGAGTGCTCTTTCCTTTCTTCAGCAATGGTTGTGATTTTGTACCAAGCCGAGCATGTACAGTGAGTTAGAGGAATTATCACTATCACTTGATGTGACTTCTTCAGTTTTGGGTGTTCTATTAGCATGTACTAGATGTACTAGATGTAGTTTCTTTCACCTTCTGTTTCTGGTACTGGTTCGCCTGAAACTGGAGCATCTGGAGATACATTGTATGAGTCCTGGCTTTCTTTACTGTCCTCCTGCAGATCTGATGGAACCTCTCCACCTTCTTTCTGAATTGGTAAGTCCTCACTTTTTCACTGTCAAAAAATGCTTGGATAGCTTCTTGGACAAGAATGTCTATACAGAGTACCTGAATAGGAAACTCTCTTTGTAGAGTCTTTTTTTTTTTTATTTCTTTGGTATTGGAAATCGAACTCAGGTCCTTGTGCTTGCGCAGCAGGCAGTGAAACCACTGAGCTAAATCCCTGGCCCTGTGTAGAGTCTTTAAAGTGATAGTTTTCCCACTAAGTATTTTCTCCAGCAAGCATCCTTTAATAGCAAATGAAGGCAGTTCATGCTCTGTTAGTTCAACTTGAGGAAGAGATTTTTCAATTTGTCTGTGAAGCGCATGGCCCATTATGGAACTGTTGGAGGGTGGTAAATTACCTGTCATTTATTTTGGTAAAGGCCACTCTTCAACCATGTTCTTATATTCTTCCTAATCTTTGCTATCTAGCAAGTCTCTTTTATCCAGTTTCTCTAAGTTGCTCTTCAGAAGGATTAGCAGGCATATGCTTAATAGGTGTTTATTCATATATGGGTTTTCCATGAAAAAACACTTTCTTCCAATCATGCATCATCTTAAGTGGAATCAGATTGTCAACATTTGATAGCCTGTCACTTAAGTGGACAAATCAAGTATTTGATCCAAAATTTCTCCGTATATTTTATAATGCTTTATATAACGAGCCTGAGTGCTTTCCACAGCAATCTGTTCATGTACTTCTTTCTCTCTGAGAATTTGTTCTTCAAAATCAATCTTGGCCTGTTTTGCCAAAGCCACTTCTCAATCAAGAGTATCCTAGAAATCTTTAAGTCATCTTTCCTCTTATTGTTTTTCTCTGAAAATTCTGTTTTGCCATAAAACCTCCTTTTCATGCGAAACATGCAAGAGCTGCACAGGAAACTTGCACTCCTGTTGGGACGGTCACATGAGTCCATGTATCAGCTGCTCCTCAAACTAAGCCTCCTCCTTTGCCTTATAGGCAATGAACTGGTCCATTAACAACCTCCGCCATCTTTTCTCCCTTTGGTTTCATGCAAAAGCATCTTCTTCTAGGCACTTCTGGATTTTTTTAATGTAGTCATCACCTGAGTAAGTGTTTAACGAGTCAGTAGTTTTATAGTCTGCTGTATCTAAACCAGTCTTGGATGCACTTTCTTTGCCTGGACATCCATTTTTATTAATGCTTCAAACTTCATCAGCAGCGACAGCCGCTGCCTCCTGTTGCTTTTTCATCCTCTTTGGGGCCTCAAGTGCTTTTAGAGTGTGATTGGATGCAGGTTTAGGAATCTGTATGACAGCTGCTTGGATTTTGGCCATTATTTCATTCTGTTATCTTCTGCTGAAGCATTGCTCTTGGGAAGCCTCACTTTTCATGTTTTCAAATTTTAAGCCTGCCAGAGGCTGTGTGGAAAACGCCTTTGCAAATGTCTTGGGATCTGCTAATCATAGAAAATGCTGTCTTCAATTCTTATGGCACAAGATCTTCACAGGATTGAGCCAAGCCCTATACCTAATACCAATCAGGGGGTGCTATCTTCTATTCTTCTGGAACTTCACAAGATCAAGCGAAGCCCTGCACCTGATACCAATCTTCTGGCATGAGCTCAAGCTGCAGCCCTCCAATTGATACTAATCAAGTGAGAGAGTGAGAGACGGGATGTAGCTCAGTGGAGAGAGTGAGAGCGAGACGAGGTTGTAGCTGAGTGGAGCCGGCGGCTGCCTGGTAAGTATGAGATACTGAGTTCGATCCTCTCTCCCTCTCTCAAGGTCCTGAGTTTGAGCCCCAGATGGAGAGACAGAGGAGAGAATGGTGTACCTCTGGCTGGCCTCGAACTCACAGCGATCCTCCTGCCTCAGCCTCCTAAGTGCTAAGATTACAGGTGTGCACCACCACACCTGGCTTGATCTTCATTTTTGTCTCCTTTATTACCTTAAAATTTTGGGTTAGATCCTTGCTCACCTCTGCATATGGGCACATTAATCATTTAGGGAGTATCTGCCTAAATGTTGGCAAAACAAAGTTGATTACTTCTAAATTTAAGTATCTTATCTCATCCTCTGTCAAAACTGAAGACACCAGGGCTGGGGATTTAGCTCAGTGGTGCTGCCACCTGCCTGGCAAGTAAGTGCAAGCTCCTGAGTTCTATCCCCAGTACAAAACAAAAAAACCCCTGAAGACACCAGGGCCGGGGATACAGCTCAGTGGCGCGGCACCTGCCTGGCAAATGTAAAGTCCTGAGTTTGATCCCCAGTACTGGTAAACAACAACAAAAAACTGAAGACACCAACATAAGGTATTTACAGAGACATTCACTACGCCCAGAAGTCTCCAGTTCTAAACCTGTGGTCACCGGGATTCCAGCAGAGCCTCACAAACCTGAGACTGCCCCACACAGAAACACTCACCTCCTGGAGACTGAACTGCCCCCTCAAGCAACAAAGACTCTCCCTGTAGCCATCATGCAGAAGTGGAATTGAGGGGCTGGGGATTTAGCTCAATGGTTTCTGCTGCCTGCTGCGCAAGCGCAAGGACCCGAATTCGATCCCCAGTACCAAAAAAAGAAAAAAAAAAAAAAAACATGGAATTGAGATAAAAATCCCCAGAGCCTGGCCTGCACCTTTGAATTTCTACAACCTGGCCCAGCTCTTCCTTCCATGAACTGCCCAGTCAGAACTTCCTCATCATTCCCGTGTCCCCTTCAGTGCCCCCCCCCGCCCCCACCTCTTACTTTCCAATTAAAGCTCTGGCTTGTGAAATTCATGCTTATTACCTTGGTTTTAATTTCCAGCATCACTGAAGCCAGGACCCACACTAGCTGGTGACATTCCCACCTATAAAATGGGGTGATTGCTCTTCCCTGGAAAAGGCACTGTGGGGGTGTCGAGAGGTCATGGGGACAAGACCAGCCATAATGAGAGGGCTCAGCAACAGGACCAGCAGAGGCAAGTGGTGGAAAAAGCCAACCTCAGCAGCAATTGAGCTTACTCATGCCAGTCCTGGTGAGAATTCTAGTGCTTCTTCCTCCTGTCTGACCCAAATTCCTCCTTCTGTACCCTCATGTTCGGCCCCTCCTTAGGAAGCCTTGCTAGGCCACATCACAAGCACTCTGCTGTTCTCATGGAGTTGCTTCAGGCCCATCACAGCTACAAGGTCCCCTGACCTCATCCTATTCCAGGCCTTTGGGAGCTTGGAAGGATAAGGCCTGGCATAACCTCTGCACATAAGGGAAACAGGGAAGGACACAACCAATGAGGAGGAGCCTCCTCCAGCCCCATGCATCCGTATATCTCCTGTGGGGCAAAAGGGCTGGAGGAGGGCCAGGCTTGGAAAGACCAGATGCTGGGACTTGGGCCCAGAAGGGTATAGGTTGGAGCCTTCCTTTTAAGATTTAAAGAGCCACTAACACAAGTTAACCAGCCAGGCTACAGGAAGCTGTGTCCCACTGGTCCCTGCCGGCCACATCCTGTTAGGTACCTCCAGTGCCCTCTCTGTCTCTCTCATTCACAGGCTCGACCCTGTACCTCTGACCTGACACTTAAGGCTGCTCTCAGCCTGGCCCCACACCATCTGGAGACCTTTTAGGAGATGTCTGGCAGTTCTCCAAATGGGCCCAGAGCTTCCCTGAGGCCACATTTTGCTGGTGTAGGTCCATTCACTTGAGAACCACCCTTACATTTTTCAGCTGGGAGATGCACCCCCCCTTAAACTAGCCTGAAGGCCGCTGCTTCTTCCAGAAAGCCTTCTCCCAATTTATTCTTTCCTTTCCACCAAACTGAGGGACCATCACTGGGCAGGGGCAGCCATGCAGTGGCCTGACAGGGCTGGCCGTTCTGTCCTAGACCACAGAATTGACCCCTGGCATTGACTCTTTTATTTGACACAGGTTCTCACTATGTAGCTCAAACTCACCACATAGCCCCAGCTGGCCTCTAATCATCCTCCTGCCTCAGTCCTCAAGTGCTGGGATTACAATGCACCATCACAACTACCTGGCCTGGACATTAGTGTTCTGAAGCCTCTGTAGGACTACCTCCCTCTAGCACAGTGACAGAACCCCCTGGAAGACTGACCTAAGACCTGAAGCAAATGGTAGGGACCCAGGCCTCAGCAGGATCTCCCACCTCCAACCTCCCATTATAGGAAGAGCAGAAGCGGGACATGGTGGATCCAGCCCAGTCTGGGGGAACTTAGAGATTACGAGAAATCCTGTCTCAAAATAAAAAATTAGAAAGGGCTGGGGATACAGCTCATAAAAAGGCCCTGGGGCCAGGGATTTAGCCCAGTGGTTCCGGTGCCTGCCTCTAAAGCACAAGTTCCCTAGTTCAATCCCCAGTACCCAAAAAAAAAAAAAAGTAAAAAGGCCCTGGATCCAATCTCTAGTACAAGAAAGAAAGAAACAGGAGTGGGGCAGGTCAGGCATAGTAGCCCACAAGTATAATCCTAGTACTCAGGAGACCGAGGCAGGAGGAAATCCACTAGCAAATATCCCAGGGTGGCAGCAAAGTCCGGGTTCTCTCTGGGTCTGGTGGTCCTTGGCTAGAATACCCCCTGAAAGGGAGCTCATTACCTACCTCGCCAGGGTTGCTTCCACAGCACCAGGGTCCCCCTGAGTCCAAAGTGCCTCCCTGTGTCCAATTGTGTCTCCTGCTCTTAAGGTGCTAGCTTTGTTCTCTGGGCCACTCAGGACCCTTCTCTGCCTGGTTCTCCACCACCCAGCTCTACAGCTGTAGAGGGGCACTCACCGTGGCCGAAGCTCCAGCAACTCCCGTGGCTCCCGAGTCCGGCTCGTCCACGGAGAGGGAGCTGCTGTTGCGCAGCCTGGAGCGCCTCTTCTTCAGCAGGTCGGCGTCGCGCACGTGGGAGAAGGAGCCATGCGCACGGGGTGGTGGCACCGGGCCAGCCTCCCCATTGACTGAGGACCGTCGCAGTCTCACACCGCCCCCGCCTGCTGTCGCTCCTGGCCCGTTCACCAGCCCCTCCGCTGGGGGAACTGGGGCTACCGGTGTTGGAGCTGCAGGGACTTCACCCGGGAACTCTGGGGGGGGACTCGTTTCCCCTACGACCTTGGCCTCGAAGTCCTTGGAAGCGCAGCCAGCGTCCGAGCCCGCGGAGGCTGTGATGGGGTCCACACTTGGGCACCTCGGCCCATGCTCACGCAGCCGCTGCGCCAGGTCGCCAGCATCCAGCTTGTCAGGCAGGCTTGGCGTGGCACTGCCCACACGGTACGTGCCGGTGCCACCGCCGCCCTCCAGCTGCACAAGCTGCAGCTCCTGCCCGGTACAGAAAGCGCGGATCTGACACAGGTATGTCATGACGATGAGCTTGTCGGGGACCGACAACAGCACCATGTCCGCGGGCTCCAGCAGCCGTGACACTCCCAGGGCTGCGAAACCATCGAAGGCCTAGGAAGGGTGCACATGGGGTCAGCGTCAGCGACCTGCGTTACCCAGAAACGCCAGGGTCTCCCATAGCATACCAGGGTTTGCCTGGCAACGCCTTCAGTGCCGCCCCCCATCTATCAGTGTCGGCCCTGTGTTACCTAGCAACAGCTCACCGCCTACCCTGATACCAAAGGGTGGTTTTGGAAAAACCATCTAGGAGAAATATTCTTTTTTTAGAATGCCAATAGAAAACTAAGGAAAAACTGTTTAATGACCAAGAGGGTAAAATGTGACTAAAAGCCACCAATAGGCCTTGCAGCCCACAGGTTCTTGTTCTCTGGGTAGAGCCTCTTCCCAGCCATGGCTCCCTCCCTACCTCACCTGCTTGTTGTTCTGCTTGATGTTGAGTGGGTCGAGGGAGGCGTAGTCACTGCAGAGAGGGTGTTAGTCAGAGGCTGGACCCACACTGCCCTCCACCCAGCTCCTCATTTACCCTACCCCATCGGCAGCTCACATCTTGTCAGGATAGAATCGGTGCAGGATGGCACAGAAGGCCAGGCCATTGCGCCAGGATGTGGTGAAGTTGGTGATTCGGACACCACGATAGCCAGTGGTGATCTCCTGGCACCACTCCAGTAGGGACTGGCTGGAGTTGACCTGGGCAGGTGGTGCCTAGGGACACAGGAATGGGTTTAGGGGATGTATTCCGGGGAGCTGAGCCCACTGCCCCTTGGGGAAGCTCAGGCTTGCCACAAAACAGTCTCAGCTGTGAGTTTTCAGAGGTCATCAGAGACCACTGGCCAAAGCTAAGGGTTTCCAGTTCAGGAGTTATGTGCCAAGGTCATCTAAAAGGTCAGCAGCCCCCAGGCAAGAAGATCAAAGGTCACCAGCAGCCACACAAGGTCAGCCCAGAAAATCAGTCTAGGGGTATCCAGTTCCATGCACCCCGGCCCAAGGAAGACAAAGTGAAAGAGCCAGGGCATCCTGAGGAAGCAGGGGATGAGGAGGCTGAGCCCCCCATTTCACTCCATCTCAGTCTACCAGGTAGGTCCACGCAGAGCCGCCATTAGCACAGCCCCAGGTTAGCAGGAAGAAGCAGGCTGGGCCCTCAGCGGTCCCCATCCCTACCTGGCTGCCCGGCAGCCTCCTGTCCTCTTCAGGCTCCTCTGGGGAAGAGGCCCCTGAGGGCCTGGGCACCCCAGCCCCTGCCCCACTGGCCACCTGTGCCTCAATCAGGCCGGCCTCTGGGACGCCTCCCTCAGCTTCTTTCCCCTTCTCGGTTCCCAAGACCCCAGCCTCTGCTTTCTGGGCCTCAAAAATACCAGATTTATTCTCTGTGGGCCCTAAAACTGCCATTTCTGCTTTCTGGATCCCCCAAACCCCAGATTTGGCTTCTGGCACTCCCAAAACCCTGTCTTCTTCTCCCAGGAACCTCAAAACTTTAATCTCTGCTCCATGTACTCCTGAAACCTCTGTCTCTACTTCCTGGGATCTTAAAGCTTTTTGCTTCGTAACCGGGACCTTTAAAGCCTCATATTTGAGAGCTCTCCCAACTCTAGTCTCTGCCTCCTGGACCCCTAGAGTCTCAACTTTTGCATCCTCAGACTCTGAAATCATAGTTTCTGTCTGTTGGGTCTGAACTACCTCAGGCTCTGGCCCTGAGACCCCTGAAGTCCTAGCTGCTATCTCCTGGGTCCTCAGTATCTCAGCTTGTGCTGTCCTGGTCTCCATCCTTAGACCCCCTGAACCTCTTATCTCTGACTCTTGGGCCTCTGATCTCCCCAACTCTTCTTTCTCACGTTCTATTCCTGGAACCCCTAAACCCCCTGTCTCCAATATCTCAGTTTCTGCTATCTTGGTTTCCATTACTGAAATCTCTGAAGTTCCTACCTCTGTCTCCAGGGTCCCGAACTTCTCAGTTTCTGTTGTTCTGACCTCTATCCCTGAGATCCCCCAAACCCTAACCTTTGTCTTGTGGCTCCCCAGTATCTCAGACTCTGCCACCCGAGCTTCTATCCCTGGAACCCCTGACCCTTCAGGTGCTATATCCTGTGTCTCCAATATTTCAGCCTCTGCCTCCCCACCCTCTGTCTCTGGTACCCCAGAACCTCCTGCCTCTGTCTTTTGGGCCCCCACTATCTCAGCTTCTACCTTCAGTAATGTGGAGCCCTCAGATACCCTCTGGGTTCCCAGTATCTCAGACTCTACTATCCTAGTCTTTGTTCCCAGAACTTCTGAACCCCCAACCTCTGTTTTCTGGATTTCCAATACCTCAGACTCTGCTATTCCAGCCTCTGTCCCTGGCATCACTGGAACCCCCACCTCTGTCTCCTGGGCCCCCAAAATCTTAGACTCTGTCACTTCAGCTTCTATCCCTGGAATCCCTGGCCCCTTGGCTGCTATATCCTGCGTCTCCAATATTTCACCCTCTGCCTCCCCACCCTCTGTCTCTGGTACCCCAGAACCTCCTGCCTCTATCTTCTGGGCCCCCACTATCTCAGTCTCTACTACCTTAGTCTTTGTCCTCAGAACTGCTGAACCCTCAGCCTCTATTTTCTGGATCCCTAATACTTTAGAGTCAGCTATCCCAGCCTCTTTTCCCAGCATCCCTGGAAGCCCTGTCTCCTGGGGCCCCAGTACCTCCAACTCTGCTGGCCTAGCAGCCTCTGACTCTGCTGTCTCCGTCTCGTGGGCCCCCAATATCTCAGTGTCTGCTGGCCTAGTCTCTATCTTGGAGAACGCTGATCCCCCCGCTTCTGTCTTCTGGGTACCAAATACCTCCCACTCTGCCTGTTCAGTCTCTATTTCCAGGACCCTTGACTCTTCTGCTTCTGCCTCCCAGATCTTCCAATCCCTAGGTCTTGTCCCCTGGTCAGCTGATGATGGGGCCCCCTGAAACCTGCTCACCTGGGGCCTGAGGCTTGCTGATCCAGCAGAAGGGCCCTGCTCCAGGTCTGTCCTCCCAACACCAGGGGCTCTGTCTCTCATCTCTGCATCTTTTCTGTCCTGACCTGCAGCATCTCTGGCCCCGCTGTGATCACTGAGATACCCAGAGTGCCCTGCAGGCTCTGCTGGAGATGAGCTCAGGTCTATGGGAGCTTCTTCCTGCACCCTGACCCCCATCTTCCCCTGAGAGCCCCTTGGAGGTGCCTCAGGAGTCACCCTGAATCTTGCCTCAGGCATAAGCCCTGCAGCCTCTGGTCCTGTAGTAGCTTTGTGTCTCACCACACGTCTCTGCTCAGCTTCATCATCACTAAGTTCTGGACTCTCTTTAGTCTCTCCAGCTGTGAGCCCTGACCTCTTAGTGCTCATCTCTTTGACTCCCACCCCTTGCTCACTGTCTACCCCACCAGCCTTTGCCCTGTCTCCAGGAGTCCCCTCTTCAGCTTTGGATCTCTGCTTTCCCAAAGTATCTTTGGAGTCCACATCCTCAATGTCCAAGCCCGGCCTGGCTCCCTGGGCTTCTGTCCCTTCCTGAGGGCTTGTCCAGGCCTCGGTTTCCCCCAAAGAACCCACTCCTGCTGGGGAAGCCTCTGAGGCATTGGCATTGGGGACCTCGTTCCCCTCTTGAAGGACCAGGGGCTGAGGAGCATCAGAGCCTTTCTGGAGCCGAGGGGCCGGGGTGGGGGCCATGTCCTGGCTTGGCTGCCTCGAGGACCTGAGGAGAGAGCAGCAGAGAATGTTGGAGGGGGGCTCCTGTGCACCCCAATCTCAGGTCCACCCCTCCCCTTTGGACTCCTGGGGGGGGCAGTAGTGGGGAGAAGAGCTCCTAAAAGTGGCAGGGGTGGGGCTGGTTCCAGAGCTCACCTGGCCTCCGGTGGGGTTCCTGGGGGCCTGGGGGCCTCAGACCCCACTTGGCCCCCACCTATAGTAGCTGATTCTGACCCCTGGCCCCGGGAGGCCCTGGCTGGGGGCACAGGGGCACTCACAGGGGCTGGGCTGGAATCCTCAGTTTTAGTGGGGCTGGCAGCTGGGGAGGAAGGGAGGAGGTGCTGAGGCCTGGGCCTTGTGAGCTGAGGTCCAGTCCCTACACAGAACCCGAGCCCAGGTCTCACCTGCCTGCTGGGGCCGTACTTGGCCCTCATCATCCTCACAAAGTGGCTTCAGCTCCCGAGGGGGTTCTGGGGGTGGGGCTGGGGATTATAGGGGGCAGCGTCAGCTCAGGGCAGAGCCCTGCAGGTCAGACCCCCTCCCCACAATTAGAGTGTTGGGCCTACCTGGGAAATGCCCCAGCCTCAAGGCACAGTCCCAGCCTAGAGAAGGGACAGGCCCACAGTTGCAGAGACAGAGACAAAGAGAAGGAACCACAAGGGCAAACAGACAAAAAGCCTTAAGGAGCAGCTGGGAGGGCCAGGACACAGGTAGTGAGGGCAGGTAGGGAGGGGAGGGGAGAGAAAGGGGGGATTGGACTGCAGCCTTCCCTGGGCTTCTGACCCAGCTTCTCAGGTCAGGAATAAGCCAGGTAGGCACCCACCAGGGGGTGAGGGCCAGAAGCATGAGGAGGTGCTGGGAACCCATCCTGCAGGATTCAACCAAGGACTGAGGGCAGCAGGTCCACGGGTAAAGTTAGGACAACTGGGGCTGCTGGGAAGGTTGGATTTCTGGGCAGTAATGAGCGCCCATCATTGCAGGGCACAGCTGGCCCGACCCTAGAACAGTTAGTGGCATGTGGCCCATGTGCCTTCCATAACCCCTTGGCCTTGGCAGTCTTAACCCACAGCAGGCTGTGAGCCCACCTGGCTGAGGGTCTCGAGCCCGGGCCTCAGGGGCCCCTGGACCATTGGCCTCATCCTCGTCACTCTCAGCAAAGTCCTCCAAGTTTCCCACATCACTCGGCTTCACACTCATGAGGCTGGCCAGACTCTGCATGTCGTCATCCCTGGGGGTCAGAGGTCAAGGATGAGGGCTGGGGTCAGAGAGACAGAGCCAAGGAAGGCAGGGGGGGCACTCACGTGGCTCGGCCCTCCCGCAGCAGCACCCCTGAGAGGGTGAGGCTCAGCTCAGCATGTACCACCTTTACTGACTTGGGCTTCAGCCGCAGCCGCAACGGAACCTGGGCTGGCACAGGCCCTGCATGGCGGGCTAGGTCCACCTCGGCTGTGGCCAGCACCTTCCGCTGCCCCTTGGATTCCTGAGGGTGGGAGAGGGACACAGTGAAGGGGATCAGCACAGCCCTGAAGTCCCTGAGACCCCAGGCCCAGCCCACCCTGGCACTCACATTCTCGATAATAAATGTCCACTCTTTGGCCTCATACTGGTCCACGTGGGGGTCCTAGGGAGAGAGGCCAGGTGAGTACTGGGCTGTAGGGAAGGCAGTGCAGGGAGAAGGACATGTCCTAGCTTAGGAGGTGCCCCAGCCTCTGATCCCAACTACCTCTCCAACTGCAGGTGTTGGGGAAACACTACCTCCTCCAAGGAGCCTCCTGGGCCCCTCGTGCTTAGTTAACTCTTAGCCATCCTTCTCTTCTTTCCTGTTTGGATAAACAGTCCACCAGGGGACGCCCTGGCTGCCCACTGCAATCGCTTGACCATTTCCATCAATGTCTGGGGAAGGAGACTTACTCTGTACAGGGTCACAGAGATGTCCACGTTCTCAGGCACCATCCACACCACGGTACCCCGGTATGGGTTCTGGATGCCTGGCTGCCAGCTGTGGGCCTGCAACAGGCAGTCTGAGTCCTCCCCCTACACCCCCAGGCTTAACTCTTCCCTCCCCACCCCCATTCCCTTATCTCCAAACTTGACCCTATTTTCCTCTCCTCCTGTGGAGTCTGCCCACTCATCAGCCTTCCCCTTGGGCCCCCTTTGGCCGAATCCCAATCTGGACCCCCCAGTCATCATCCTCCTCTACCTTGGAGCAGATGCGTCTGTTCCGCCGGGTCCATACCACCACCAGCTTGTCTGGCTGCCTGGGGAGGGGCCAGGAGGGGGCTGCTCAGTCAGGCTCACCCAGCCTGCCATCCCCTCTTCCTCTTCTTCCCCAGCTCCCACAGGGTCTTCCTTCAAATCCTGTCCCCTTCCCTCTGGGCAGTTTCTTATCTGGAGCCACAGGGTGCAGGGTGGGGCTACTGAGGAGGGTGGAGCCGAGGCAAAGGGCAAAGGCCCAGACAGCATGAGTGAGCCCGCAGGGACCATGAAGGAACCAGTGACAGAGATAGAGACACAGAAGACAGACAACAGACATACTCAGAGACACAGGAAGAAACAGAGCCTCAGAAGTTCATTCATTTGCAAATTATTTGTGCTTTGCTCACTATAAACCCAGCTCAGTTTTGGCCACAGAGCAGAAAAAGAGAGGCTGGACCCTTCTGGGGCTGAGGGCAAAGGAGCTGGGGAAAGAGGGCCTGGGAAAAAGGAAAGTAAATTCTCAAGCTAACCTCAGGGGCTTGTGAGGGAGCCTCTGGGGTCTCCTTGAGTTTGGTCGTCTGAGAAGACTTATGAGTGGATGAGGGATGGGTCACGGGAGAATCTGGAGAAATGGCAAGTGCAAGGATTGGGGCTGGAGGAGGGACAGGGACAGCAAGGGGCAGAGGGTAGGCGTGAGACCAGAGAGAAACAGGGTCACCATCCTTAGATGCCCACAGAGGGCCTGCTGCTCCAGCAGCCCTTTGGTAGCCTCAGGGGCCCCAAGGAGTGTCAATTAGAACTCTTGCTTTCCAGAACCCAGGGCCTGTGGACCAAAGCTTTTCAGGGAGATAATAATAGAGGCCAGACGAAGTCAGAAAGGACTTCTGGGTGGTAGGTGACATGTAAACTGAACAGCATATGCAGGGCAGATTCAGAGGAAAGGCACAGATGTGCAGAGGCAGAGACAAAGTGAGAGGAGAAAGAGGGCTACTCAGGCCCTAGTCCCCAACACAGAGGTGATCTGGCTGGCCCTAGAGAAAAGGAGCCTTTAGGTTAGTCTGCAACCTCTACCCCCTGGAGGATGGGGATGGTTAAGGGGACAGGCAGACAAAGTCAACACAGGCACCTTCCTTGCCTGTTCCCAGTACCCTGCCAGGATGCTCAGGTATGCCCACCTCCCTGCCCCTCCAGGGCCCAAGCCAAGCTAAGTGGCTTGCTGTTAACCTGGAGGATCCTGAGGCCCAGAGAGATGGCCAAGTAGGGTTACAGAGCTGAGCCTTGAGCTTTCTGCCCCAGAGCTAAGCTCCCTCCCCCAACCCCAAACTGTAGGCAAGAGCCAAGCAAGGACAGCCAAGGGGCCTACTCAGAAAGAGGAAGCAGACAAGGGGTGCCTATGGAGGGCGGGCCCTGGCTGGGCAGCCTGACTCAGGCCAGGCACGCCCTCCCAGGGAGCTGTGACCTGGGCAGAGGCCACTTCCTGTCCTGGGCTCCAAGTGAAGAAGCCAGAAGGCCCTATCCCACTGCCTGTGACTCAGCTGCGTTGACACTGCTGCACCCTAGGCCTGCTCTCCAGGACCGCGCCAGTGTCCCCCTAGCCTCTTCCAGGATGCTGGGCAGAACCCAGAGGCCAGGGTTCAAGTGCCAGCTCTGTGCTGTTCCCCAGCCAGCCCATACCCTCTCTGGGCCTTGGCCAAGTGAAGGGCTCACAGGCAGGCCCAGTGTGAGCAAGATCAGAGACATGGCCGCAGCCCTAAGGACCCCACCTCTACTCACTCTCCTCCCTGTGGACCCTATGCTCCCTTCCCGCCCTAGCCATTCCCCCAGGGAACCTAAATTTAGGCCTGCTGGGTGGTTGAGGCCCCCACAGCTGTGCCCTAATCCACCAAGGGAAGCTGACACCAGTGAGCACGTAAATTTAGGGTGTGACGCAGGGGCCCAGAGCCTATACCCTCTCATGTGTCACCCCCTCACCCTACCTTGCCCTCTACAGGCCCTCTCCTCCTGGACCCACAACCTCCTAGGTCCTCAGGTTCCCTTTAAATTGTTCCCCGCCTCCCTCCTCATTCCTCCAAGTGCTCAGTTTCCCCTTTTAAGGACATGGTGGAGACATTTCCAGCCTCCTAGCCCTGGCTCTGGTTGAAAGGAGGGGAGTGTCCTCTAGCTCAACAAGAGGGCAGGGAAGGGGGGAAACATCTTTGTTTAGATGTGGGCTAAAATCCATGAGGTTTCTGCCCCAGCCCTGGCCACCTGCAGACCTTAAAACTTGCTTCCATTTCCAGTGCCACTCTGAACCATCTCTCTCTGGCCCAAGACATTTGGTCTCCCTTCCCCAACCCTGAGCACAGAGGGAAAAAAGGTGGGCACAGACATATTCTTAGCCCCGAAAGCCCTTATCTCCACCCCCAGAAGGGCCCCCATGCCCCAGCTCCTAACTTTCTTTGCCTGTGACACAAGGGCCCAAGCTGGGGCAAGGAGGAGGAGGGGGCCTTGACCACAGGGCTGGGCTGAGGCGGCAGGATAGGGTACCTGCTAACCTGGAGGGGGTCCCCTCAGACCTTCACTTACCATTTCTTGGTGCACTCCAACACCAGCTCGTGGTAACAGGCCACAAACTGGAACTTGGCGGCTCGCTTGCCCACGCGCTGCAGGCGTTTCCACACGGAGGTCATGGCCCCCGCCGCTCCCGCTGTCTCCTTCTCAGGCCTGCAGCTCTCGCTGGCTGGCGACTGGCCTGGCCGGGGTCCGCATGGCCTGGGGGACTTCTATCCACGTTTCTCTCCCTGTCCACCCCGTTGGCGTCCGTGCAGAGGTGCCCGGTTCTCTGACCCGGCGGAGGTTACGATCCCTGATGCCGCCGCTGAGACCTGCCGGATGACTGGGCCGAGCCCTCCCAGTCGTCCAGGGTGCGTTGGGCTGCCCTAGACGCCAAGCGGCCGAGCAAACGGTTTCCTGGAGCCGCACCCCCGTCGGAAGGCGGGCGGGGCAGCGCCGCGGGCGGGAGCAGGGGCAGGAGCGCGGGGGGCGGGGCCGCTGGGGCTTCCGGGGCCTCCTGCTGCGACCCGCGCTGGGACCGGCGCCCTGGGACCAGCTCCGTGAGCGCCCACGCTGGTGGATGCTCGAGGCTGGTGCGGGGCTTGCCCGGACCGCCTCCCTTCTTGTCCACAGCCCTTTCATACTCTTGACCCCATTGCAAAGGCTAGGACAACAGAGACTAAGAAAGAGAAAGGGACTTGCTTAGGACTCTCCTGAGCACTTGCGCCAGGGTCAAGTGTCCTCAACAAGGGCCGCAGCCTTCTGCAGCCACCCACGTCTGAATTAGAGCAGAAAGGAGCAGAATCAAGGATCACCTCTGGTGGCCCTACCTGTGGCCACCCCATCCCCCATGGTTTCCAAATTTGACTCCTCAGCTGTTAAGAGGTTAGACAGTCCCAAATTTCCTCACGCAACTGGAGGCCCAAATCCTGACTTCAATCAAGTGTGTTCTGAGCCTTAGTTTTAAAGTCTGTTAAATGGGGATAATTACGGCCGGGGATTTAGCTCAGTGGTTTCGCTGCCTGCTGCACAAGGACCGGAGTTCGATCCCCAGTACCAAAAAAAAAAAAAAAAAAGAGATAATTATAGTTCCATCCTTTATAGTCACTGAGAGAAAGCACAGGTCTGGCTGATGTTGCTCATCTCCTTACACGGAATCCCTTAAAGCCTGTGTGGTGTCTGGGAAGCCTGCCTGCCAGGGTGCTGGCTGTTAACACCTAGATTAGAGTCCTTATCGCCTACCCACCCGCTGTGCATGGTAACAAACATCTGCAGGCATCAGGCCCAGAGTCAGAGAACTACCCTGGGGCAGCACTTCAGCTCTTCCTTCCCTGCCACCGCTCCGAAAGCTTTGTCAATACACCTTAACCCGCTGCTTGGTAAGTAACCTGTACTAGATTTGAACAGGACCTCTGGTCTGCCAGGAGTGCCAGTTTGGAGACATCTCCAGAGGCAGGTGACTATTGCAGGGCGGGGCATAGGCTTCTGCTGCCTTGCAACTTCGTGAACGTGAAGGCTGCTTTTGGCAGGCCTGACACTCAGTTTGACTCCCAGTCCCACTGGTGTGGTCCTTGGAAAGGTTTCCTCAGTGAAAGCAAGCCTTTTCCATACAATCCTACAGGTACCAGGGTTGGGGGGGAGGCGGTCTGTATGAGACCTAAGTGCGCAAAGGGGGTGTCTTGGACCCCAATCACTGTTCAGTGCCGCTGAGTGTCTTACACCCAAGCTGGGGCCCTGCCCCGACTCCCTTCCCAGGCTTGCCTGGCCTCTGGGGAGGCCACTACTTCATCCCTTCTGCCTCCGAAGCTCTTCCCTTCTATCCCTGGGCCCTAGCTCCCTGGCCCTTCCTGGAGGCGCCTTCCTTCTCCCGCCGACGGGCCCCTCTTGCGGACGGCTCCGGCCCACCCATTTCCTGTGCCGCCCCAACTCCGCCCCCACTCGAGGTGGAAAGTTTCGCTCCTCAAGATGGGCGGCTCCTTCCTTCCCATCTGGTCAGAAAAGCCCAAAGCGAGTGAGAAGGGGGCTGGGCTCCCAAGCCTCGAGTCCGAGAGGGGAAGTGACTCGACCGCAGTCACACAGCTGCGGAGCCTGCCGCCAGCCCAGAACGCTCACAACCCCGCCCCGGGGTGAGAGTTCTCAGCCCCCTCCGGCTGAAGCCTTTTATCAGGGGTCTCCGGCGCCACCTGCCGGCTGAGCACGGGCCGCACTTGGCCGAAACCGCTATACTGTATTCCTGCCCCAGAGTAAAGCAGTCAAAACACAATAAAGCCAAGAGAGCATTTATTTATGCGCCCAGAAGGCTGCCCCTAAATTTAAATATCCAGCATGGGGCCCTAGCCTTTAACCGCCATGAGTGGGTGCAAGGGTGGGTCCTGGAGTCCTTATCCAGGACATTGGAATCCAGGGACAGAGGTGGGATGCCCCTGAGCCAGGAGCTGCCAAGAGCAGCAAAAGGTGAAAAATGTGTGGGAGCCAGGCACTCAATCCAGTCCCAGAGACGCTGAAGGGAGTGCAAGATGCTTTGGGCCCCACAGCCAGACGGCGGGTTGGCCAAACTAGGGGTGCACGTATGTGGGAGAAGTGCAGGCCCAGTGCCATAGGCAGAGGCTGCAACCTAGGAGCCCATCCAGTGCCAGCGCACCAGGAGAGGGGCTGCCAGTTTTGCCTGAAGGGCACACGCCTTGCCCTCCTGAGAGGTAAGGTGAGGTGGTACCGGTGGAAGAGCAGGCACTGTCGTCTGAGGGTGGCTGAAAGGGTGAGTTTTGCCCCTTTTGCTCAGGTCATCCCCACTGACCCCAGATCTTCAGAGGCTGATGTGGAAGGCATCCTGCAGCCACTGGTCACGGGCATTGTGCGTGTGGGGCACAGTGAGGGGTGGTGGGTCGGGGGGCAGGCTGGCATCAGGTGGCTCATCATCATCAGATAGGCCGGCATCAGGTGGGTAAGAGCTGTCAGAGTGCAGGGAGGATGACAGGTCCTGGCATAAGCTCAGGTCTTGGCACAGATGCTTGTAGTCCTGGATTGACTCGTACAAGCCCCACAACTGGCACAGCAACGACATATCCAACTGTCGCAGACCCACCTGCAGATAACTGACAGTGGGCTGGAGTTGGGGTCCAGGCCACCCCCAGCCCACCCTCCTGGAATCCAAGGCCCCCAACCCAGGCCACAACTCTGGCCAATTTTCCTGCACCTTCCTAAGTCAAAGTTTTAGGGACAACAGACAGAACCTGCAAGATGTGAAACTTCACGCGTCACCCAGCCTTCCTCACCAATAAAATGAGGTAACACACCTACCCAGTAGGATGAGATGGACATTAGTGAAACACGAAAACGTACGTAACTCCTGCCATGCGCTGCTACTGTTTCTAATTGCTGTTACAAGCCTCAAATGCCTGAGACTTAGGCCCCCCATCCCAGTCCCGAGCCTCTTCGCTCCGCCCTGCCCCAACCCTCCCGCGGAAGCCCCTCACCCACTTACCATCTCCTTGCGCAGCGCGGCTAGAGCCGAATCCAGGTTGACTGGCCGGCGCGGGCCCGAGACGGGCCCAGAGCTGGAGGCACCGGCGGCGTGGCGTGGCCCGTCCGGGGCGCGCGCAGCGCGACTCAGCTCGTCGTGGATGCGGCTGCGCTGGCTGTAGACGCGCTCCAGCTCCCGCCACGAGCCCCCGCTCGCGTTGAGGAGGCCGCTGAGGCCGCGCGGTAGCGGCGGGAGCCCGGCCAAGGCGCAGCCCACGCCACCTGGCGCCTCGGCCGAGGGCAGCCCGTTCATGGCCGGGTCAGCGCGGAGGACAACGCAGCCTCCCTCTTTCGGACGCTCCGCCCGGGCCTCCGCCCGCAGGGCCTCACAGGGGAGCTCAGCCGCCACCCGCAGGCCCCGCTTTGTTCTCCCCGCCCCCCCGCACCCGCCCCAAAGACTCCGCCTCGGCCCCGCCTCCCCGTGAGGGCGGGGCTTCCCTTAAAACGGCCACGGCGGTGGTATTGCGTTGCCGTATTGCGTTGCCGTTGCGTACGGCTGAAAAATAGATACTGGGGTGCCCATACAAGGGGAAGAGGATGAAAGAGGCCAAAAAGGGCAGACATGGTTCCTTTTGCTGTCCCATCCCATACACAATGTTCTGCACAATTATCCTCCCTAAGGATCTAAAAGTGGGGACCAGGAGACTGGGGCAAGTCCATGCTTGGCTCTTAATGTGCAATGTTGGGGTCCCCAAAAATCCCTGTCAGCGTCTAAGCACCTGGGGTGGGCATGAAGTGGTAAAATAACAGAATGAGAATGCTCAGGGGAGGGAGGGGAACCGGTAGGGAATGAGTGGCTGGGGGCCGTTCCAGACAAGGCCAGGAGACTATGGCCTCTTCTTTAGAAAGGGAGTATCACATAGCCCGCTACCTACCTCTCATTCTGATTCCAGAAACAGAGAAAAAATAAGCTCAACTCTTCTCTCAGGGCATCAGGAAGAATAGATTGCGGAAGGGTGAAAGGCCCAAATTAGGAAAAAGGTAAGTGGAGCTGGGGCTGGCATGCACACTCAGAACCAAGAAAAGAATAAACTACACAGAGGAACAGCTGTTTTTCTACAGGATTTGGGCGGCGGGGGGGGGGGGATCCTTAGTGTTGCAGCTGCTTCAGGCTCTGCAGGGCCTCAGCACAGGCCCGGATAAGGCCACACAGCTGGATGCTAGTCTCCAGGGAGGCGCTTGAGCCCAGCTCAGCTGAAGCCCAGGTCAGCTTCTTCAGGAGGACCATCTGTGTGCAAGCCACCGCATCTGCATCTGCAGGCACTGCAGGAGGGGGTGGCCCCTGGGCTGCTTTTAGCCCTGCTGCAGCTCCCTCACAGTGCTCCGGCCTGGGTACTGGGGGCTGGGGTGTGAGCCGAGAGCCTGAGGGGGGATCTGTGGCAGAAGCGAGCTGATGCTCCCGAGCTTGGGAGAGAGCAGCCTGGGCATTCAATGCTGAAAGAAGAAAGTGGGTGCAATGGTCAGGATGCCTGAGCCACCTCCTCTATATCTCTTCCTTTCTGTCCTTATGGGTTTTCCCTGCCCCTTAATAAGGCAATTCAGCCAGTTTCTACCTTTCTTTTGCAGAGCTTGGGATGGAACCCAGGGTCTAACTAATCTTAGGCAAGCACCCTACCACTGAGCTACACTCTCAACACCAATCCACTTTTTTCTAACCAGGCTTATTTGTGTGCTAGCTTTATCTCTCCATCAAGTTTGTCTGATGGAGCTCAGACTCTCCTATGGTGTTGGGAACAGGAGGTTTTTAGCGGTCTTACTGAATGAATGGTCCTGGCTAGAGTTGAAAGGGGAAAGCACATTACTCCTGGCCTCACCTACACCCTCCACTGTCACTTCCCAGGTCTACTGCTCCTGGACATTGGTCGCCTTGCTGCTCCTCCGCCTAGCACACATAGCCCCTCACCCGGATTATCTTTATCCACGTCTGAATCAAGCTCTTGACAAGCCACGCAGTAGATTTTCCGCTGTTTGTCTTGGAGGAGGATTGTCTAGGAACCAGAAAGACACGGGGCACGGGTGAGACGCAGGGTGATGGGATCCAGCGGGGAGAACTGAGGAAGGTCCGTGCTGCCTGGCCCCCGGCCCCATCCTCTACCACTCGCCCGAGTCTCTCCTCACCCCGCAGTCCGCGCATGTCTCGCCCAGCATGCGATAACCGCGCAGCAGATAATCGCCAATGAGCCGGGAGATGCGATCCTGCCGCTCTCGTCGTGCCTGCAGCACCTTCGTCTCCGCCTCAGTCGGGGGCTCCCAGGAGAAATCGTCGACTTCTGAGGAAGACAGGCACAAGGGGCCGGAGTCTTGCCGAAGCAAGCTGCCTCCCTAGTCCCACAGCCACAGGCCCTGGCAGCCCAAGCCCTCACCAGCGCCGTTCAGGGCCATGTTGCCGATGTCGCCGATGGGTTCGCCGGAAGTGACACAAGGGCAGCGCGCCTGCGCTGCGGCTCCGCCCCTTCCATGTGGGCCCCCCCACGGTGGGGGCGGAAGTGACGTATTCTGAGACCTCAGCCCGTTCTGCCCGGAGTGGGGCGTGTCTGCTGTAGGGTAGACCCAGCCCAGGAGGCGTGTCGGGCTGCCGGAACCCGGTGGGAGGCCACTTTGGAGTAGAGAGGCGTGTCGGTTGAAACTACTGTGTTCTGTGTTCTCTCAGGACTTGAAAGTAACTTCACAAGGTCATCCTTCCTGGCCGCCGTGGATGGAGGGGACCACTTGGTTGGAGAAGTCCCCCTTGGCCTCTGCTTGCCCTGGGGTTTCCCTTTCCGCACACGCCGAGCGGGGGGCGGGGGGTTGGGCAAGTGAGGCCGAGGCATCATTAAGACAGACAACTGTAGTAACAGACGGCCCTTTGCGGGCGCGTAGAGCCTCCTCAGGCCACATTGCTCGCTTGGACCAGCAGGACAAGCCAGGCAGAGGTCATTGTCACACTGTGCCAATTTCAAGACCCTCCCCTTTTGTATATCTGGTTTCCCAGTTTGTCCACCCCCCACAGAGGTCTGGGAACGTTTTTTTTCTTTCTTTCTGTTTTTGGTGTTTTAGTTTGGTTTGGTTGTCCTTATTGGTTTTTTGTTTTTAGGCAAGCTCTATGTAGCCCAGGCTGGCCTTGAACTCACTATGCAGTCCAGGCTGGCCTTAAACTCTTGGCGATCCTCCTGCCTCAGCCTCCCTAGTGCTGGGACTACGGGTGTGCATCACCACGCCAGGCACCCTTGCTGCTGCCGCCACCTCCTCCCCTTCTTTTTCCTCTTTTTCTTCACCTTGTCCTTCTTTCTTTCTTCTCCCAGTTTCTCATCCTTTCTCATCCTTGCTTGCCTTCTTTTGCTTTTTTTTTGGTACCGGGGATCAAACTCAGGACCTTATGCTTGTGAAACAGGCGGTGGAACCACTGAGCTAAATCCCTGGCCCGCCTTGCTGCCTTCTTAGGGGAAAGACCTGTGTGTGTCCTTGGCTGTCTCCATCGCCAGTATTCTCTTGGGCAGCAGTGTGCCTAACTCAGAGGCCATACCCTAGGTCATTTCTTTTTTTGTTGTTTTGGTTTTTTGAGACGGGTCTCCTTATGCAGTTCAGGCTGGCCTTGAACTCACTATGTAGCCCAGGCTGGCCTCAAACTCAGCAATCCTCCTCCTTCAGCCTCCTGAGTGCTGGGATTATACACTTGCGCCACCAAGCTCAGCTAACTCCGGATCTTTTTTTTTTTTGGTATGGGGGATCGAACTCGAGACCTTAAACTTTCAAGGCATTTGGCAGAACCACTGAGCTAGATCCCTGGCCCATCCAGGCCATTTTTGCCAGGCTGACTGGAAGGACTGTTCCAGAACCATTTCTTGGACTCCAGTCTGTGTGCACAGATCTTCCAGGTCATTAATGTCTGTAGCTCCAAGCCTGTTCTGAATTTCTCAGTGCACCCTTTGTGTCATCACAGGTGCCTACTCACTGTCTTCTCTTCGTAGCACCACTAAGACCCTCACACTGGTCCTCCCCACCTAGTCCCTTTCATGTAGTCCTCCTGAGAACATTATGGAGCAAGTGCAACTATTACCACCATTTTACAAAGCAGGAAACTGAGTAATTCTTTTAAAACATAGATCAGCTTACTTTTGCTCAAAATCATCTGGCAGCTGAATGTGGTGGCACACGCCTGTAATCCCAGCACTCTGGAGGCTGAGGCAGGAGGATCACTGTGAGTTCAAGGCCAGCCTGGGCCACATAGTGTCTCAAAAAAAAAAATCTGGCATCTCTCCATTACATTTAGACAACCCAAGGTCCTTATCATGGTCTCCAAAAAAGAGAAAAAAAAACCCAACTTAAAAAAATAAGAAGAAACAAAGGTAGGAAAAGAAAAGAACAAGTTTGGGCCAAGTAAAACTAAGAAGAGAAGTGCACCCTATAGCGTGAGGGCAGGCCGCTATACAAGATCAATGATGTGTCTCTTTTTCTTTCTTCTATTGTCTTTTTTTTTTTTCTGGTACCAGGGATTGAACTTGGGACCTTGCGCTTTCGGGGCAGGTGGCAGAACCACTGAGCTAAATCTCCAGCCTCTTTCTTTCTTTCTTTCTTTCATCCTTTCTTTCTCTTTCTTCCTGGTACTGGAGATTTGAACCCAGACCTTGTACATGCTAATTGAGCACTTTAGCACCAAGTAACATCCCCAGCCCTTTTAATTTAAATTTTATTTTTACTTATTTTATTTTTATTATTTATTTATTTGTTTGTTTGTTTGTTTAGTTTGGTACCAGGGATTAAACTCGGAACCTTGTGCTTGTAAGGCAGGAGGCAGCACCACTGAGCTAAACCCCCTGGCCCTTTTATTTTATTTTAAATTGTCAAGACTGGTCTCAAATTTATGAACCTCCTGCCTCAGCCTCTGAGTAGTTGGGTTTGCAGGGGTGCACCACCATGTCATCTTTTCAAGGATGCTTGTGTAGTGAACAACCTTGGACTGCAAAGATGTCTTCCTCTAGAACAAAGGACAGGCATCCTTACTGCTCATTATAAAAGATTTGTATTCAACAGGGCATGGTGGTACATGCCTGTAATCCTGGCATTCAGGGAGGCTGAGGCATGAGGACCACAAGTTCAAGCAAAGCCTGGGGAACTTAGTGAGACCCTGTCTCAAAAGAGAAGTGCTGGGCCAGGGATTTAGCTCAGTGGTTCTGCTGCCTGCCTTGCAAGTGCAAGGTCCTGAGTTCAATCCCCAGTACCAAAAAAAAAAGAAGTGCTGGTGATGTAGCTTAGTGCAAAGGACCTGGATTCAATCTCCAGTATCACACACACACACACACAAACACACCCCCCAAAAGGTTTGTTTTCCTGTCCTATAATCCAACTGGTCATGTGTATAGGCATCCATGTGGGCCCATGTGCATTGTCTTCATTAGACTTGAAGGGAAGAAGAAGGACATAGATACACTCATTTTCATGTTGCTTAGTGTGCTATAATAATGTCCTTTTATCTCTGACCCAGAAGTTTGGTGTCTTTTGCCAGCATCCATAAGCTTCTGTCAGTCTGACTTGTTTGCTTAAAAGTAGGGTAAAGGGATCAGAAGTGGAGCACATGTTCAGCATGCATGAGGCCTTGGGTTCAATCCATGGCACCATAAAAAAGTAGAGTAAAACAAACAAACAAAAAAAAGTAGAGTAAAATCTTAGACCCTACACAATTTTGACAGTTTTTACAATGAGAGTGGGATGTGGGTAGAGATGTGTCTTTCTTTTCTTTCTTTTACTGTTTTGTTTATTTGTTTTGGTGGTGGTGGTGATAGTACCAGGGTACTAAGGATTAAACCCAGGGCCTCATCCATGGTAGGCAAGCACACTACTTAACACTGAGCTACAATTCCAGCCCTTGATGTATTTTTTTTTTTTTTTTGGTACTGGGAATTGAACTCGGGACCTTCCACTTGTGAGGCAGGCAGCAGAACCACTGAGGTAAATCCCCGGGCCCCTTGGTGTATCTTTTGGTAAGAAAAAAGATGAAGGGGCCGGGGATTTAGCTCAGTGGTTCCACCACCTGCCTTGCAAGCGAAAGGTCCTGAGTTTGATCCCTGGTACCAAAAAAAACAAAAAAAACAAAAACAAAAAAAAAGATGAAGGTCTCATGAGCTGATTAACAGGTTTTGAAGGGAGGGCAGGGAATTGGTAGCATACATACTGGCCAAATAATATGACGAACCAAGCAATAAATAGTCTTCAACTTTATTCTGCTCATGAGGTGGAATTAGGAAGGTGCCTGCAGGCCAAGTACCATGCAGTGGGTTCGAAGTCAACTGCCAGACATCCCCCTGGTTGGGGCTAGGTCGTTGAGTTTCTGGGGTGTGGAGCTAATCATAAAGATTTACCTAAATTGGGCCGGGGATTTAGCTCAGTGGTTCCAGCGCCTGCCTCACAAGTGCAAGGATCTGAGTTTGATCCCCCGTACCAAAAAAAAGACCAGGTGAAAACCTAAGAGATCTTTACTATGACAATGAGGCAGAAATATCCCCTACTGGGACGGGGGGGGGGAGAAGGAAGATATATCATGTTCAGGTACAAATTCCCTATAATGAATGTTATCATTACGTGTATAAAAAAAGTACCAATAAATGTTTTGCTTAAAAAAAAGAAATATCCCCTATCAAGGTGATCTTCTTTAATAAAGTCAGCCCAAGTGTGGTGGTGCATGCCTGTAATCCCAGGATTCGGGAGTCTGAGGCAGGAGGATCACTGGGAGTTTGAGGCCAGCCTGGGCTACATAGCAAGTTCAAGAAAGCAAAATCCTGTCTCAAAAGAAAAAAAAGAAGGGGCCAGGGATTTAGCTCAGTGGTTCCGCCGCCTGCCTTGCAACCACAAGGACCCAAGTTCGATCCCTGGTACCAAAAAAAAAAAAAGAAAGAAAGAAACTAGATCAAAGCTAACCAAATACAAGCTGAAGGAAGGATGTAACAAAAATTAAAGTGGAAACAAAGAATAGAAAAGTGATAGTGGAAATTAACTAGCCCAAAAGTTAGTTCTTTGTAAAGATCAACAAAACTGACAAGACCTTTAGCTAGATACTGACCACATTAAAGCCAGGTCAGCCCACGGGTGAAAAGCTTGCCACTGCAAGCAAAAAGCCATGTGGCTGTGGTTGCTGTGTCATGGAGCCTCTCAAATGTGAAGGAGATAATGCCAGTAGTAAGAAGAGCCCTTCCAAACAATACAGGGCTGTGTATAGCAACATTTTCAGCTAACTATGGGAATAAATCTTGGTTGCTCAAACCATCTCCATCAGGGGTACTCAGCTCCAGGTACCAATCCAGGGCCTGAGGAGGTGAGTGGCTGGTGACTAAGCAAAGTGTCATCTGCATTTACATCCTCTCCCTTGCTTGCTTCAACTCCTGAGCTCCACTCCCATGTCAGCTCCACTTCCTGTCAGCTCTGCAGATAGCATTAGATTCTCTTAGGAGTGCAAGTCCTGTTGTGAACTGTGCATGTGAGGGGTCTCAGTTATGTTCCTTCCAGTTATCCCCAAACCATCACCTCTCACCCACACTACCCCAATCCTAGTCAAAGGAAAAATTGTCTTCCACAAAACCAG